TACTGGTGCTGGGGCTGCTGGAGCTGCTGGAGGTGCTGCTTCTTCTGGAGGTGCTGCTGGTGCTGCGGACTCTGGAGTTGGAGCTGCTGCTGGTGCTGAGGACCCGGGCGTTGGAGCTGCTGCTGGTGCTGCGGACCCGGGCGTTGGAGTTGCTGCTGGTGCTGCGGACCCTGGAGTCGGAGCTGCTGCTGGTGCTGAGGACCCTGGAGGTGGAGCTGCAGCTGGTGCTGAGGACCCTGGCGCTGGTGTCTCTGCTGGTTCTGGAGACGCTGCGCGGCCGCGGCCGTACTTCGTTTCGCTCCTTCAGCAGGTTCTTGGTCAGCCTCGTTCTACACGCTCGTCTTCTGTTCTCAGCTCCAGTTGTGAGGCTGAGATCTACGCCACAGCCATGGCTGCACAGGAGTTACGCTGGCTCACCTACCTGCTGACCGACTTGGGAGAGCGGCCTCGTTCTCCTCCAGTGCTGTACGTCGACAACAAGGCTGCCATTGCCTTGTGTGAGGAGCACAGACTGGAGCACAGAACGAAGCATATCGCTCTGCGCTACTTCCTTGCTCGAGAGCTGCAGCAGCGCGGTCAGCTTCGTCTGCGTTACGTGGCCACTCGGGCCAACACTGCTGATGTGTTCACCAAGGCGCTTCAGCCTTGTGACCATCAGCGCTTCTGTACTGTTCTAGGCCTCGTGCCTACTAGGCCTCACTTGCTTACTTCTTGACTCTGCTTGTACTGTGATCTCTATATATATACCTGCTTGTTTACTCTTGCTAGGTTGTGATCACTGTATCTCTTGTTATACTATCAACCTGCATGTGAACTGGTCTTGTGACCACTTGCTTGTGCTCAGAATTTGTGTGGTTTCCTTGAGATCCACCCTGAGCTTGCTTTGCTTTGCTTTGATTGGTCTTGTGACCATCTGGTTGTCTCCCACTTAGCCTATGGGGGTGTGTCAAACATTATATGTTCATATTGTGTAGGCTATAGTGGGTTTAGCCTTAGGGGGTACAGCTTTGTTAGGGTTTCCTACTTGTATCCCCCTCCTACCTAGTTTCATCCATTCTCGTTCTGTTCTGGATTCTAACATGTGCTACTCAACTGCACCAACTCCATCCTTCAACCTCATCGGCTATGTGGACGCCGATCACGCAGCAGACCCCGATAATCGACGGTCCAGGACTGGTTTCCTGTTCCGACTCGAGCCAACGGGACCAATCTCCTGGAACTCGCAGAAGCAGGAGCTGGTTGCTCTGTCATCAGCCGAAGCGGAATTCATCGCAGCAACCGCAGCAGTTCGCGAAGGCCTCTACTTGCAGGAACTCCTGCAAGAGGCAAAAATTCCAACTTCGCCCACATTTCGCCTTCACTGCGACAACCAGAGCGCGATTCGCATCGCGAACAAACCTGGTTTTGTCAACCGCACCAAGCACATTGCGCTGCGGTACTTCTTCGTGAAGGATGAGGTGGACAAGGGCAAGGTCAACTTGACCTACTGCCCGACCGGTGACATGGCAGCAGACTTCCTCACGAAGCGACTGCCACGTCAGCAGTATCAGCACTGCTCTGAACTCAGCGGCGTGGTCAAGCAGGTCAAGTCGAGCTACGGCCAGGAGTGAAGGGGGGTGTTACGAATAGTAATACTTGAATATTACTGTGCACTCCTCACCGCAGCAAAGAGAAGCACGCAGTATCGCGAATGAACGCGAAGCGTCAGACGGTTGGAATCGACTCGAAGCGTCAGACAGTTGGGACGCATCTGGACCGTCGGAGCAGACAACATCAGGCAGCTGCAGGCAGGATGGTTTCGGCGGGAACAGTTTCGTAACTGTTCGCGCCGCACGGTTGGGAATGTATTTGAATAAGGGAATGTACCCCTTAGAGTACATGGCTAGCTAGGTCGTTTCATCTCCCCTGTACTCATATTTATATTTGCTGTATTTGCATGTTTTAAAATCATCTCAAAGCATTTTACATTCACTCTGCTATTGAGGTCAAGGGCCCACCAACATCACTTCTCTGCGTGCGAACCTTCCTGAGTAGATCCTAGGCCACGATCAATTTTTGATCGCAGCAAGGCGGAAGGCTCCGACCTGAAAAAATTAGGAGGTAGAGAAGTTTAGAATGAAGAAGAAGGGGGTTCACTAGAAAGCAGCAGGATACATATAGGAAACCCTAAGGGGTTGTACTCGCTATAGAGTACCCCACTGCAGGCTAGAGAACAATGACATTCTGACACACCCCCATAGCCAAAGTGGGGTGTAATCAGCAGAGCAAGCAAAGCAGAACAAGCTCAGGGTGGATCACAATGTCACCACACATTCTGAGCACAAGTACAAGAAGTAATAGTTTAAAGTTCACAATTATGAGCAAAGCTAGAGGCTATCGCAGAGGGCAAGTGAGGAGGAGGAGGCGAGAGTGAGAGGAGAGGAGATAGGAGGCGACGGCTGAAGCTGCAGACACACGGGCAACAGGAGTCACACTGGCACAGCGGCTACCGGAACAACGCTCCGGACTACTGGAGTAACTGGCTCCGCGGCTAAAAGTAGCGGCAGACGAGCAACGGACCCACGGGCGACTGGCACAGCTGGCTGCGACTGGGCTACCGGAGTAACTCCCCGGACTACAGGTGCTGCTGGCGACACGACGGCAACCTCAGTTCAACCTCCCCAAACAGTCCCACTCCCCCTGACACACACCCCCTGCTTCACCCCTAGCTCCACTCCCCCTTCACCCCCCTTAGTACCACTCCGACGGCTCCAACAGGTCCACCCCCCTCAGCGGCAGCTGCAGCACTGGGAGACGGAGGAGGAGGAGGAGCAGGGGACGGCACACAGAAGCTGCACCCCCATACCCCCCACCCCCAAACCCTAATTCAGGAGAACGGGCAGCAGCAGGGGTGGGGCGCCATCAGAAGCACGGGGGACAGCGGGCAGCGCAGGGGCAGCGAAGAACGGGCCGCCCACGGGCCTGGCACAGCCGCCCGAACCGCGCGCAGGCGGCCCGAGCCGCGCGCGGGCCTGGCGCAGCCCGTACGGGCCGCGCGCGGGCCTGGCGCAGCCCGTACGGGCCGCGCGCGGGCCTGGCGCAGCCCGTACGGGCCGCGCGCAGGCTGTACGAGCCGCGCGCAGGCCACGACGGGCGACGGGGGGCGACGCGCGGGTCCCCGTCGCCCGTCGCAGCGCCTCCCGGGAGCGACGCGCGGAGTGACGGGGCAGAAACCCGCCGCGCGCCTCGGGGCGCACGGCGGGCAGACAACCGCCGCGCGCCTCGGGGCGCACGGCGGGCAGAAAACCGCCGCGCGCCTCGGGGCGCACGGCGGGCAGAAAATTGCCGCACGCTCCGAGCGCGCGGCGGGATGAAAAATCCGTCGCACGCCACGGGGCGTGCGACACAGAGAGTAGCAGTAGCAGCGGAAGCAGTGAGGTGGTGAGCCCACCCACAGGATCGACCCAAGGGGATCGACCTGCTCTGATAGCATGAAAAAATTAGGAGGTAGAGAAGTTTAGAATGAAGAAGAAGGGGGTTCACTAGAAAGCAGCAGGATACATATAGGAAACCCTAAGGGGTTGTACTCGCTATAGAGTACCCCACTGCAGGCTAGAGAACAATGACATTCTGACACGACCTACCCCGTTCGATACGCGGATCGCGTCGACGTGGGAGCGTTACGGCCTTTAAGGCCTCTTCGCGCTCTCGTCAATGAAAGCGTACTGATTTGAAGCTTGTTGTTAGTTTTTTTTTACCTTTTGATTGTGTCTGTTATCTCATGAACATGGCTTTCCCTGAATTGACGTTTTCCCCCTCTTTCCAGTTCACGTTTCCTGACAAGTATTTACTTTCTCCCTCTCAGCGCTCAATCCACTAGCATTCGATCCAGACAACTGTCCAGTTCATTATGTTAGATATTTGATCACCAACTAGGCCCAAAAGTGAACGAGGTCAGGTCACTCCTGGAGATCAGGTAGCCAAGCCTAATTAGTTACCTTGGGACTGGCTTAAAGAACAACCCAAGCATGATCTACAAGGCTAGATTGGAAGGCTGTTAGTGAGTTGTTGTTGGAAGAGTGGGGACTGAAATAATTGAGCATGCAAAGGATGAACCAAGCGAAAAAGACGTTCTCTACCCGGTGAACATGTGAGATTTCCGAAACGCCGCCCGTGGGGCTCGAACCCACGACCACAAGGTTAAGAGCCTTGCGCTCTACCAACTGAGCTAGGGCGGCTGTTATTACGCGTGTATCAGTGTTTTTTTCAAAGATTATTGGATACTTTCTGACGTGGCTGCCACGCTCCTGGGATCAAGTGAGAAAGCGCAGCGGCTTTGGAGATTTCCAGATTATTTGGTATCTTGGCCTCGTCAGCGGCGTCCCCCGCGAACCAGCACACGCTTGCCTAGCCGCACAATCCGCTGTGGCAGTGGCGCACAGAAACAAGATCAACACTGGATTCCACGTCGGAGGAGGGATACTCTGGTGTTGTCATCCCTATCATTCGAAGTTGTCCCAGCCGCCGTGGAACACCCGGAAATTTTACAAGGACCCAGCGAAGAGGTCTATGTCCATCAACATAAATACACGCTATCTTGGGAACGCATGTCCAGAATCAGTATCGAAAGGAAGGAAAAGGGTGACTACCCTGGAGGTAAATTCAGTCACCGCACTGCGGAAATTCCTCCGGAATCTCCTCCTGGCAAACCTCCCATCCCATCCCGTCGCAGCATCTTCTGAATCCTCCCCCCCATCACTCTCCCACCCCCCAACCCATTCCGCATGCCATTGCCCAGAGAGGGAATTCCTAGACTTGATTTGAATCCTCTTAGCTGCAATATCCGTCCTGCTGCCATTCTCTTCTATTTTGCGGCCATTCATTTCTCATCTCTACGTTTACGCCAGCTAATTTACCTCATTCTCGCAAGAGCACTTGTAGCCTTGCGAAGCCTTAGCTTTCGAGAGTCGCGTCTTGACACTTGATACCTCCTCGTATTCCGTTCTATCTCACCGGCCATCATGGGTCTCGAGGTGGAGAACATGAGCGACCTTCAGAAGCTTCGCACCACCTACACGCCAAAGCTCCCTCCAGTTCTCCAGGTTGGGATCTCCACTGCCTAGATTTCAGACCGCTGTCCTTTCCGTTTCGCGGTCACCTTCAGACATCACCGAAAGCGATCCAGATGTGGCGGGAACAAATCTGAAAGAACGTGAAAGCAAAACTTTTGTTTGACTCGAAAGGAAAACGGTGAACGCACCAAGGAAAACTTGGTTTTAACAGATCTTGTTTCTTCCACATGCTTGGGTCGCAGTCTAACTCCGTCACAGTGGTAGGAGGGTTCGAGACCGCGACGCTCGAGCCGTCGGACCGCATCGCGGTGCAACGCAAGTTCCCCCGGACATACGGCTCCTCGCTGCTCTCCCTCGTCAATGTCCCCGTTGACAAATGCCCGGGTGCCAAGGCCCATGCCAAGGCCTCGGGTCCCCTCAGGTACGCATTCCTTTCTAGCTTTCAGTTTTTTCCGGCTTATTTACTTGTGATTTATGTAGTCATTGGATGATCTCAATGCTGATGTTGCTATCTGTTTGATGTTCCGGCCTTTTCCCCCATACGTTTCTGTTTCTTTTGACGGAATCCGTCAGGGTGGGAGTGCTGTTCTCGGGCCGTCAGTCGCCCGGCGGGCACAACATCATCTCGGGTCTCTTCGATGCGCTCAAGGCGCACCACGCCGACAGCACTCTCCTCGGCTTCGTCGGTACGCGCTTTTAAGACCAACTCCGAACTCACATATCCTCTTTCTGCTCCGGTGTGCCGCTTCGTGCAAGCTCATGATTCTCGTGCTCGTCTCTGTCTCTGTCTCTTTCTCCGAGCCATCTGCACGAGCAAACGGATAAACATTTCCGATGTGTCTGTTGTCCTCTGCCACGCGTCTCCTGTCCGTTCCTCTTCAGGCGGGTACAAGGGCGTGTTCGAGAAGAACACTCTCGAGATCACTCCCGAGGTGCTATCGCTCTACAAGAACCAAGGTACGCGATGAACCCCTTCAATGTCGACCCGGATTTTTTTTCTATTCATCGTTCCGCTTCCCCGGACGCGCGTCCATCGCCCCTTGCGTGTGAATCTGCCCGTGAGTCTCACCCGCCTTTTTTTATTTTATGGTTTCGTGGACGAATTTTTGTTGCTCCGGCTTTTTTTTCATGTTGCACTGGCAGGCGGGTATGACCTGCTGGGGCGGTCCGTGGCGCAGATGTCGTCGACGGAGCTGCAGGCGCAGGTGAAGGCCACGTGCACGGACCTCAAGCTCGACGGTCTCGTCCTCATCGGCGGTGAGCGCCCATCCCACCACATGCGCTGCTTTTTGACTCTGACGTCGAGAGCAACGTCTCACACCCGCGCTGCCTTCCGTCATATGTGCGCTCTAGGTGTTTCAAAGCTCAGCTGTCTTGAGCTTGTTTGCCGGAGCGCAGGTGTGTGTTTCTCTTCATTGTCGCCTGCTCCTTCCTCACCCCCCCCTTTCCTCCCCTCCCTCCTTCCATCGCTGCGCCGACCCATCCCCCCCCCCTTCGGGTGCGCGCGAGCAGGCACGGGCACGGCGACGACTGCGGCGTACCTCGCGGAGTACTTCGCGGCGGAGAACGCGCCCACTAAGGTGCGCCCCTCTCTCCCTCCCTCATCTCGGTTATTCACTTTGACCAGAAACTTGCGGAGCGCTGCGCCTCCCAGAACGCATCCACCAAGATGCGCCCCTAGCTCCCTCCCTCCCCACCTTTGATGGTCTCTAGAAGCTGTGCCGGCCGACCAAACGGTGGAAGGATAATGATTGTGATATTCTGGAATGGCGCGAGCATTGGCTCTGAAATTACCTATTCGTAATTGCGAGCTCATCGCGTACCTCTGTTCGTTGTATGGGGCTGCTGGGTGCGTGTGTGGGTTACGTGGTTGTGCGGGGTGTGCGTGCGTGAATGCGTGCGTGGGGGCCGTGCGATGGGGCCATCAGGTGGTGGCGGTGCCGTGCACCATCGACTGCGATCTCAAGAACCAGTTCGTGGAGGTCAGCGTCGGCTTCGACTCCGCCTGCAAGGTACGACGCGACGGGTAACCTTCTCTCTCTTCGCCTCTCTCTTTATATCTCCGCCGCCTCTCCCGCCGCCTCTCTCGCTGCGCCTCTCTCGCCCTTCCACAGCTGTACCTGCCTCAAGGGCCCCTCCAGCCTTAGATGCCTTCTCTACTTTCCTGCACCCTATTCGTCCCCGGCCAAATTGCTTACTTCTCCAGTTCAGTGCCTTGAGTTCAAGTTGCCACGAGTGCTGATCCGTGTATGATGTTCCCACCTCCCCGCCTTTGTTGTGCGCGTGTCATACGGATCGCATCGGATCGCATCGGATCGGACTCGGATCGGATTGAATGCCACAGGTGTACTCGCAGCTCATCAGCAACATCTGCACCGACGCGCTTTCCGCGGAGAAGGTACGTACAGACCCTCATCGAATCTCCATTCGTACCGCCGCGCGCACACTGCTCTACTCCGCGATGCCGCCGCTCTTCTGCGTACCTCACTGTTTCCCAAAACTCCGTTCGTCCCACTGTGCATTCCCCAACGTCTCCTTCGATGAGCTTACATGGCTTACATGGCACACATGGCTCGCATGGCTCGCATGGCTCGCATGGCTCGCATGGCTCGCATGGCTCGCATGGCTCACACTCCACAATGCTCTGATGCCTCACAACCCAGCTCGTGATCGCATGCGTCCTGGTCCTCCTCACCTCATCCCCCTCCCTCTTCCTCCCCTTCCCCCCGCCTTCTCTGTCGCAGTACTACTACTTCGTGCGACTCATGGGTCGCAAGGCGTCGCACATCGCGCTCGAGTCCGCTCTGCAGTCGCAGGCGAACATGGTGATTCTGGGAGAGCAGATCGCGGCGTCGAAGATGACGCTCTTCGACATCACCAACAAGATCTGCGACGCCGTCGTGCAGCGCTCCGTTGAAAAGGGTCCGTCCGTCGCCCGCTCCTCCGCTCTCTCCCCTTTCCCCCTCTCCTCTTCTTTCCTCCTCTCCTCCCCTTCTCGTCATGTATCGACCAGTACATGTACTTGAGCTTGTGTCCGTGTGTGTGCATGTGCGCACGGATCATCCCATGCAGGCAAGCACCGCGGCGTCAATCTCTTCCCCGAGGGCCTCATCGAGCACATTCCCGAGGTCTTTTGGGTCGGCTCAACCTCATCATGCCACGTGTGTGTGTGCGCGCGTCTGTGCGCCCATCATTGCCCATCGTTCGTTCCAATGCGCCCCACCATGCAGGCAAGCACCACGGCGTCATTCTCTTCCCCGAGGGCCTCATCGAGCACATTCCCGAGGTCGCCGCGCTGATTGAGGAGATCAATGAGCTCATCAACAGCGGCGTGCCGTCCGAGTCCGTCGCGACGCGCCTGTCGCCGTGGTCGGCGGCGCTCTTCGCCTTCATGCCGCCCTTCATCCGCCACGAGTTCGCCGAGCACCGCGAGGTCGACGGCTACATCCGCTTCTCCCAGGTGAGCCTTCCCCCTTCCCCCGTCCCCCGTCCCCCGGCCCCTCCCCTCCCGCCTTCCTCGCCTCCTTTCCCCCCGCTTTCCCACGAGTTCGCCGAGCACCGCGAGCTCGACGGCTACATTCGCTTCTCCCAGGTACGCCTTCCGCCTTTCCACCTTTCCGCCTTTCCGCTCATCTGCGTCTTGGCCCAGTCCCCTTTCCCACCCATCCGTGCTGGCAGCGCTTCTGTTGGTGCTGGATGCCGTGTGACTGAAGAATTGACTTTTGAGTCGACTCAAAAGTCACCTCGTTGCTGGCAGCGCTTCTGTTGGTGCTGGATGCCGTGTGTCTGAAGAATTTTCACAAGTTTCCTCGAGTCGTCCTCACCCCAATCTCTGCTTGTGTTCGCGGGTTGGGGCTGCGTTGCATGGTGCATTCGTACCAACACGGCTTGGCGTGGCATGGCATTGTATGGTGTGTGTGGGCGCATGCATGGATGCATGCATGCATGAATATGGGCGGGCGTGCGTGCGTGCGTGCGAGTGCATGCATGGTGGCAGATCGAGACGGAGAAGCTGTTTGCGCATCTGGTGGAGAAGGAGATGGAGCGACGCACGGTGGGTCCTGGGTGCAGGAAGCGAGGCCGCGGGGTGAGGGCAGGGGCGGTAGAGAGGGGAGCAACATGAGTGAATGGAAAGTTTAGAGAGAGGGGAGCTAGAGGAGGGCGGGTGTTGTGAAATGGAGGCGGGGAAGAGGGGTGCGGGGAGGAGTGAGGCAGAGGGGAGAGGGAAGCGAGGATGCGAGTGGGCAAGCATTGCAAGTGTGCTAGGAGAGGCGGATTTTAGTAGACCGAGATGTAGGCATGGCGGTAGTGGTGGATACAAGAAGCAGCGCATATCGTCCAGTCCAGCCAGGTGAAACGTGCAGTAACGTTCGTGCTCTTCCTCTTTGCGTGCGTGCACGCGTGGTTGCTGTTGACTGCCGTGTGTGTGCATGGGGAATGCGGCATGTGAGCAGAAGGCGGGGCAGTACAAGGGAAAGAAGTTCAACGCCATTTCGTACTTCTTCGGCTACCAGGCGCGCGGCTCCCTGCCCTCCAACTTCGACTGCGACTATGCCAACGTGCGTGCTCGCTCCATGCTTCTCCGTCTCTCATGCCTGCAAACGCACATGCACACACACCGCAAGTACACCGCTCATGACACACCACACACACACACACACACACACACACACACACACCCACACTCACACACACAACCGCCCCCTCGCCTTCTACTCTCCCCCCCCACACCCAACGCCTTCTCAACTCCGCCAGGCGCTGGGGCACACGGCGGTGCATCTGGTGGCAGCAGGCGCGGGAGGGTACATGGCGACGGTGAACGGACTCAAGCACGACGTGTCCCGCTGGACCCTCGGTGGCGTGCCCATCACGGTGCGTGTCCCCCCCCTCTCTGTGTGCGTGCCGTGTGTGGTTTATTCTGTGCGTTGCTTGTCTGCCTGTGGGTATGTGGGCTCATGGTATGGTCGATTAGAGCATGTGCCTCCTACATGCAGGGAGCGGATGTGTCTAGGGTTCGAACCTCTCTTCCCTCTGGCCCCTCTGCGTCCCTGATCCCGTGTGCGCAGGCCATCATGAGTTCGAAGCCAACAATGAAGGGCGGCGCCACGGAGCCCGGAGTGAACGCCAACAAGGTCGACCTCAACAGCGCGCCTGTCCAGTGAGTGCCCCGCCCCCCCCCCCTGCTCCCACTCATGCACCGCACCCACATCACCGCACCCACCGCAAGTTGCCACTGCAACTTGGGGCTTGGTACCCGTCCCCTCGTGCCCGACGGCACCCTCATACCCCTCACGTCCACTCTACTCCCCGCCCGTGTACTGCAACCCAGGCTGACTATAATAGCTGCTCCCTCAAGCCCGGCTTACTCATGCACGCTGTCCGCCTGTCCGTGCCTCCACTCCCCCTTCCTCCATCCCCTCAGGGCGCTCTACACCAACGCGGCCAGCTGGCTGCTGGACCATCTGTACCGCAACCAAAAGACTAATTTAGCTCATTCACACACATCGTGCCTCCACTCCCCCATCCTTTATCCCCCCCAGGGCGCTGTACACCAATGCAGCCAGCTGGCTGCTGGACGACCTGTGCCGTGACTGAAGGTGACAGTTGTTCACTCATGCCCCTGCCTCCACTCCCCTGCGCATGTCTATCCCAACCCCCTCCCCCTATCTCCCCCAGGGCGCTGTACACCAACGCAGGCAGCTGGCTGCTGGACGACCTGTGCCGCAACCCCGGGTGAAGATAATCATGCCTCCCTCGTCTCAGGCCTACTCATGCACACCGTCCCGTCCTCCTGCTCCTGCCTCCACTCCCCGTCGCGCTCCCCTTCCCCCAGGGCGCTCTACACCAACGCAGCCAGCTGGCTGCTGGACGACCTGTACCGGAACCCCGGCCCCATCCAGTTTGAGGGGCCCAGCGCTGAGGCACGCCCCATCACGCTGACCATGGAGGACCACAGCTACGTGGAGCAGATGCACACTCTGCACAAGTACCTCGACCAGGTGCGTTGCACTGATTGCTCTTGCATACTGCTGCAGCTGCTTTCTAAGTCCTGCCACGAGTACCTAGCTCAGTCGGACGCATGGTTCCTGTTTTTTAAAGTCCGAGAGCTCGCTGTTAACTCCCAGTCATTCGTGTACCAACTATGGTCCCTTGGCAGGTGAGGGAGCTGGTGAAGCCAGGCTGTGCACCCGAGGCACTCAACACGGCGCTCTCCTCCCTGGCATCGCTCACTCACGTGCTCACCATCCTCACCGGCCCCGGCTCCTCCTTTGCTGCCCCCGACCCCGCCCCCTCGCCCCGCGTCTCCTATGTGGCCGGCATGTGGAAGTAGGCAGTGGAAAGTAGATGTGCTAGTGGAGAGACAAGGGTTGGGAAGTGAATTGGAGAGAATTGGGTAGATATGATAGATTGTGTGTGGATTTCATATGCTGGGTTGTGTGTTTGAGAAATCACAGGAACCCTTTTGATTCTGGTTACTCCTCTTCCCTGGATGTCTTGCAATGGCTAGTTGAAGGAGGTTTGGCGAGGAATTATTTGCAAAAAGAAGCACTGAATACGTACATTGAAATAAGTTTTGTGGATGAGGAGATAACCTAGGTTGTTAGCTTAAGAGGATTCTTCTTAGCGGAGCGTTAGACCATGCACTTCAACCAGACAAGTGGTGGTGCGTGCGCTCCTTTCGTGAGCAGCGCTCCTTTCGTCAGTCTCCATGAACGCGTTATGGGACCACATTCCATTCGTGGCGCATAACGTGACAAGCCTAGAGTGTGTCCGCTGATTGCCAAACCCCCGCAGAGCAAATGGCGTGCGTAGTTCAACATGTCGTGGCAGCAGGAGCACAGCGCACCACGTGTCAGATAATCACGCCGTTTCAGCCTCCCTTGTGCGGAAAGGCATGCAAGGGAGGTCACATAGTGGGGCGCCTCGACTGCGAGCGCCATTCCAGTGGTTTGGCGCGTCCTTTTGTGCGAATTCCAAGAGTAAGGAACCGCTCTGCGCGGCGCACAAGCCACATCGCATGGCCCACACCACAACACACAGCAGCAGCTCCAGTCGAAACGCGATCTGATAGGTCGCATTCGGTCCCCGCCGCCAGCCGTGTGAAACTCGATTGGATCCACGTCAAATCTGACGGCTGAAGGCGCCGATTTGGAGGATCGTGACCGTTGAAGTTTAACTGGCAGCGCCTCGCTGAAGCGAGCCGCTCTACTGCAGTTCGTGATTGGGTTGAGTGGGCGCATGCCGTTTCGTAAGGCGCGAAAGAGGCGCCTAAGAGGCATAATTCCTGGATGCCCTCGCTCACGATCCAGCAGGATTCGGTGCAGGGTCGCTCACGATATCGCAGTATTCTTGTTTCGTTCTCCTGCGTTTGCTTGCTCCTCGTGACGGAGTGCTAGTTTCTCCGAGTGGGTGGGTTGGGCAGAAGGCGGGATCGTCTCGCAAGTTTCGTGTGCAGTTTGAAGGAGGACGCTTTCTGTCCAGAGCCGGTGGATGGCTAACGAAACTCGCGTGGCGAACGAGACTCACGAGAATTTCCGTCCGGAGCCGGACGCTTTTCGTCACGCGTCTCACGAGACGAACGAGGCTCACGAGACTTACAAGAGTCACGAGGTTCACGGGGCGAATCGACAGGCGCGCTGGCGGCTGACAGAAGCGGCGGGTATGGGGCGACACGGGAGGGAAGGAGGAGAATCAGCGGAAGGAGGAGAGGGGAATAGTGCCGTTGGCGGAGAGATGGGGGAACGTCTGGAGCCGATTGGCTGTGAAATCCCGGAAGGAAGCTTCTTTGTGGGTTCTCCTCCTAAGCGGTTACGGAACAGTGGATTGGGAGGGGAGAGGGGCGAGGAGCGTGCAGGAAGGAGCATGCACGATGATCAGGAGAACCAGATTCCTGAGGCAGGTCTGAAGGAGGGCTTTTACGTGCAGGGAGGCTTCGGGAAGGGGCAAGGGGACTTGCCTGAGTTTGATCTTAATAAGGAGCCTGACAACGAGATGGAAAGCGGGAGAGAGCGCGAGGGACGAAGGGAGAGGTTAGAGAGTGAAGTGAGGCAGGTCGAGGAGGGGCCTTTCGAGGTGACTCAAAAGCTGGATACCAGGAAGGGGAGAGAGGGAGACAGCGGTAAGGGGAAGGAGGAGGCGTTAGAGTTCGAGGTGAGGCAGATATACGAGGGCCTATGCCTGGACCTTGCTGCTGCTGCTGACGAGGAGGCCTGCAGCGCTGACAGGAGCGCTGACGTGGCAGGCCAGCGTGAAAGGTGCGCTGACGTGGCAAGGCATGGTCCAGCTGGCAACGAAGAGGCTCTGTGCATAGGAGACGTTGCTGACCTTGACTTAAACAGGGGGGAAGGGGTAAAGGTTGATGAGGAGCAGAGCGAGGTTCAGGGCGGTATGAGTCTAGTGGAACTGGATTCAGTGCGGTTGCTGGCGTCACTCCCTTCTCTGAACTCCAGCGACCTCGCCGCTGCCCTGCCTGCTCTTGGCTTTGTTAACCCGCTGCCCAACACAGAGGGTGTTGTTGAGTCCACTCAGAAGCCACCTGCTCTGGCCTCTGTTGTGGACCCACCGTATGACACAGAGGGTGTTGGGCCGCCCCTAAACGAATCTTCTCACAAGTCATCAGTTCGAGCCCGTGTTGGGCCACCTCACGACACTCAAGGTGTTGCGGAACCCCCCTCTGGGCTGCTGGCTCGCACGGGGGGCTCTTCTCCTGGAGGATTTCTGCAGCAGCAGCACCACCACCAGTGCCCGCCATCTGACCCGGCTGTAGCAGCACCTGGTTCGGCTTTAGCAGCACCTGGTTCGGCTGTAGCAGCACCTGGTTCGGCCGCAGCAGCTTTTGATCCAGATATAGCAGCACTTCATCCGGATGCACCTGCAATTCATTCACCTGCACCGGCAACTGAACCGGCTGTAGCAGCACTCGAGCCCAATATAGCACCGCAGGACCCAGCTGTAGCAGCTCTCGAGCTCAGTTCACCACCGTTGGACCCGGCTGTAGCGGCACTGTCAGACATCCAGCTGCCGCCCGGGTTCACAGAGGGCGAGGCAGCAACCGAGCACTTCCCCCTGTTGTCTGACCCGCCGGTTGACACCCTTGACCCCTTTGTGGAAACCCAGAACCCCTTTGCGGTGACTTTGGAGTCGAGTCAAAAGCCGCCATCGTGTGACCCGCCTGTTGACACGCGAGACCCTCTTGTGGAAACCCAGAACCCCTTTGCTAACACCCTGAGCCCTCTTGTTGATGCTGTGGAAAACGTGCTGTGCGGCCACAGGGGTGATTGTTTGGCGGTGGTAGGGGGAGAGGGAGGAGAGGAAGGAGAGGGAGGAGAAGAGGAAGGCGGAGGATTGGGAGGAGGGGGAGTAGAAAGGGGAGGAGAAGAGGGAGAAGGTGAGGAGAGAGCTGGAGAAAGGGCAGAGAATGAGGGAGAAGATGTGGGAGTGGTAGGGAAAGGAGGGCGAGATGATGATTGTGAGAGGGAGGGTGCAACGGGGGTTGGGGGCGGTGGAGTTGGGCACGAACAGGCGTCAGCATCAGCATCAGCATCAGCATCTTTTCAACCAATGCCGAGTGTTTCTGGATGGTTGGCAGCAGGTGCCAATGCTGCTGGTGCTGCTCATGCTGCTGGTGGCCATTCTGAAGCTAGTGCCAGTGCTAGTGCTAGTGCTAGTGCTAGTGCTGCTACAAGTGCTGGTGCTGATGGTGGGGAGAAACGCCCTTCAGCTGGTGACGCAGCCAGAGGAGGAGGGGGACAACCAAGCGACACCAACAGCGGAGAAAAGCCCGACCAATCAGAAGCAGGAAATGATCTCTCGCACGGGTCTCAACCCGGGGTGAAGCATGGGTTGAGTGCAGTGCCAGGAGATGCAGAGGCGCATGCCATGCTGCGGCCTGCAGGCATGCTGGCGCCGCCCTACGAGCACATGCGCCAGCCTGGCATGGCTGTGACTCTAGCGGATGTGCTTGAATCGAGGGAGCCGTCAGAGCAGGCGGGTGTGACTGTGGACGAGCAGGGGCTGGGCTCCCTGGGATTCGCCACGTCGCCCCTGGAGGGTCTGGGTTTAGAAGAGAGCCCGGGCTTTAAGCAACATTTGGTCTCTGAGCAAGAGCTGGGCTTTAAGCAGCAGCTGGGTTTTGGCCAGGTGCTGGGCTGTAATCTGGGGCTAGCAGGGAGAGCAGAAGAAGGGTCGGGTGACACGTCAGCAGTTGTGTCCAGTGCCAGGTCAGCAAATCTACCGCATGCGAGCACACTGCCAGGTGTGCAACACGCCATGTCAGTGGCGCCTGAGCTGCAGCAAGCAGTTGCGTCCTCACCTCTAACGACCGCTTCCCCCCTTGCCCCGCACCCCCCCGTCCTTCCTCCCACACCACCTCCCAGCCCCGTTCCACTCCTTGCCTCCCTCCCCATTAGCCATACCTCCATCCTCACCCCAGCAGCAACAGCTGCCCAATCCCTTCCCTTCCACACCCCTGTACTCACGCCACCCACAGCACCCCAGGTGACACCTGCACCAGTCATTGGCCCCCGTTCGTCCACCTTTTTAGTCACACCCCCTGCCAGTGCCAGTGCCCCATCTTCTGCTGAAGGGAATGTTGAGGTGCACGTAGGGCCTGCAGCATGTGACAATAACGAGATGCTGCTCAAGATTGGAGAGGAGGGGATCAAGGAGGTGGTTGTGAGGCAAGGTGGTGGTGGTGACACTACAGAGAGATTTTCAGTGGAAGTGAATGCAGGGGAAGTGAGAGTAGGGATCAAGAGTGGAGAGGATGTGACTGTAGTGGTGGGAAGGGGAGTGGGGGAAGCTACAACTGCATGGGTGGAAAAGGGTGCATAGATATGTGGCACAAGAATGCTGCTTGGTGCAAGTTGGTATAATTTCTGGTGATGTTGTCTATAGGTTTGATGGTTGTAACATACTCGCTGTAAGCTTCACCATTCTACCTTGATTCTAGCTCTAGTATACCAAAAGAAAGCTTGTCAAAATGGGAAAATCGATAATAAAATAACGATTATATCACAGCTACAACAAAATAATAGGCCCTAATTCAGGCCAGTATATAATACAGAGGCGCGCTTGGCGCGTATCCAAATCAGCCCACCAAATCATCGTCCCACCAAATTATACCTCCATGCGCGACTATGTTTAGTGAAGCGGCTCGCGGGGGAACTCTTCGACGGGGCTGAGCTGCTTGGCGCGGTGGTACTCGGTGTGCGCGCAGTCCACGGAGAGCACCGAGCTCGACTCGTACGACCGCGGCGTGCCGTCCAGGAACCCCACGCCCTCCTCGCTGTCCGACGAGATCGGACGGTGCAGATTCGCGATCAGGCGCTGGAAATCCGCGGCGCGCGCGGCGTGGTCTGGGCGGTACGTCTGGCCGAGCACGCCGTGCACGTCGTCGGTGTGCTCCAGCTCGACAATCCCCACGTTGATGTGCGCCTCGGCGTCGTTGGGCGTCTGCAACTTGGGGTTGGCGACGCGCAGACGCAGGTCGAGCGACACGAGCCCGTCGATCGCGAGCGTGTAGTAGTCCACGTCATACGGCCCCTCCTTCTCCAGCGCCGCGAGTCGCAGCGTCAACCCGCCCTCAGTTTTCACCTCGTCGCCGACGGCCATCCTCGGGATCTCCTCGCCGTCGATCTCGATCGTCTTCATGAACCCGTCGCCGCGCTCCTGCTGCTTGCCGCCGCGCGCCGCGAGGCGCAGCTTGTGATCCGCGCCGGCCGCGAACCACACGAGCCCGAGCTCCTTGATCCACGTGTGCACGGCCTTGCCGTCCACCACGAGCGCCGCGTTCTCCGTGTCGTCCGAGTAGTACCCGCGCAGCAGCATGTTCACGTGCAGGTCGCGGTCCGTCAGCAGGCAGAACGCCTTGTCGGGCCGCCCGTTGAAGTCGAAGTGCGTCCCGAACGCGCCCACCAGATGCGGGTCGTTGACGACGTTCGCGGCGGGGTTGCACTCGCCGCCCGTGCGCACCTGCAGCGCGATGGGCTTGGAGTCCGTGGCGTACTGCGCGGTGAGCTCGCCGCACGAGTAGTCGATGTTGTCGTGCACCAGGTAGCACGCGCCCTCCGTCTTCTTGCCGTCGATGGTTATATCGGGGATGTACTGCCAGTACGTGCAGCTCTTGAACGAAGCGCACGTGTTGCAGCACGTCTGCGGGGACGCCTTCTTGAGCGTCAGCGGGTTACCCTTGACGTACATCTCCACGCCGAGCTTGTTCTTGAGCAGATTCGACGTCTTCCATTTCGCCGGGATGCCGCCCTTGCTGCAGTTGGCGGGCGTGCACGCGCCGTCCCCGGGTTTGCCCAGGTCCTTGTGGCACTTCATTTTGTTCCATCCGGCCGCTTTCACGTCCACCAGCAGCATGCTGTCCGTGCTCGGGCTCACGATCGTCGTCCCCTCAAACTTGTCCAGATTGCCCGCCGCCGCCGCCACCTCGATGCCCTTGGGCACCTCCGTTGCGACTCCGTTCTCACCCTGCGCCGCCGCGAGGGACACTGCGGGGTTGTTGGGGCCAGTCACGATGCTTGGCGCCGCGGAGGCAACTGTCAGTAGGAGTGCGAGCGACGCTACGAGTAACAACCGTGCCATGGTTCTAAAATCTAGGCCAAAGCGCTGAGGAGCTGTCTTGCTGTCGAGAAATGTTAAAATCGCCTAGAGAGAAAGAAAAACGCTAGGATTAAAAATCGTACGAGTGAAACTTCACCTAAGATATGTTGTACGAAAGATTGTGTTGTGTCTTGTCTGTCGACGGACTTATTTTATATTACGCTGGTGTGTATGGTTTGGCTTACATTGCCTCATGGTTTTGCTGGGGAGTTCGCGAATCGCGAGATTGGAACCGAACCGCGCTTAATCAAGCGACTGTAGATGTTGGCGGGCGGATGCGACTGCACTTTTCTGGCGCAGGTTGGCTCCTCGCGGCTGGTTGTTACCGGAACAGATCTGGTCAGGTATCAACTCAGGTTACGGAAATTCGAAGCGCAGGAAGCAGGCTCTGTGCTGGTCAGCATGGGTGAACTCCTGGGTCGCCAAATGTTTGCAGGAGTTTCTCCTCATCACCCTGTACCCGAAAATTGCAGCTGGACTCTAACGAGGCGGAAAGCTACATTGGGAGTAAGCGAGAGTTTTATAACACATCATTGAAATAGATGAAATGTCTTACAGCACTCAATATTCACCAAAATTGAGGGCCAGAAACCCAGCCAACAGTCTGCCATTGGTGGATCTGAGCTCGTTGATCAGACGGCTCCAATTTGATCCTAGCGACCCAACAAAAAGATCGCACTGTGCAGCAATCAGCAAGCTAGCGAAGCTGACTGCCACTGATTGCTCACTATCATATGCCCACAGGACCTCTTCCCCTTGTTGTTCTTGCTGTGGTGCTGAGATGTCGCTTTGACGGGTGTTAGTGGAGTAGAAGAAGGTCCAATCGGGATAGAGAGACGTGGCATCAATCACCGACTGCGGGGGAGGGGGGGGGGGGGGCCATGGGGCAGTGTGGGTGAGTGTGTGTAGGGCGCTGCATCCACATCCTTGCGCTGCCCTGATTCTGTTTTGAGTGGACTCAAACTACACCACAGTTTCATGGTTATGGAAAAAATGACTCGGAATATTGTTAGGGTGAACTGGCACCGGTGTATGATGGTGTTTGGGTACCTGTGCTTTCGTTTTAAGCCACACATGTTGAAGGTGACTGTTGAGTCGACTCAAAAGTCACCTCGCTACAATGGCACACGACACATGCACCAGTGTATGATGGTGTTTGGGTACCTACCTGTGCTTCTGTGTTGAGCCACACATGTTGAAGATCGGGCCGTGACAGCTTGAGTCTGCATGGGAAACAAACACACACACGAGGGCTCGGATGGAAAGGGTGTGAAGAAAGGAGTTGCATTTTTGTAGAGGACTTCATGATAAATGGAGACTGAAAACGATAGCAATATCGCCAACGCTGGATAGCTGGATATAAACTGCGCCAGAACCCACCAGGGCCAGAACCCACCAGGGCCAGAACCCACCAGGGCCAGAACCCACCTGAGCCAGAACCCACCTGAGCCAGAACCCACCTGCACCACAACCCACCTGCACCACAACCCACCTGCACCACAACCCACCTGTACCAGAGCGCACCTGTGCAAGAGGAACATGTGGGAGTGGAAGGAGGCGAGTTGCATCTCACTGCGCTTGTCTGTCTGCCGCACATGCACACTCACCATGCCCCCTGGCATGCGCACCTCCCCCCCCACCATCCTGTATGCTTCCTCCGCTCCCACCTCCCTGCTTTCCTCTCTGCTGCTGCTGCTTTCACCAGTGTTGCAGCCGGCAGCAGGGGCACAGCTAGCAGCGGAGCAAGGGGGCGCGGGGAAGCCGCGCTGGGGCCACACGCAGCCGTGCAGCGAGCGCACGGGAGGGGGTGATGACTCGCCCTGTGGCACCTCCGCTGCTGCTGCTGCTGCTGGTACCTCAGGTGCTGTCTCTGGTGTGGGCAGTGGTGGTTGTGCTGTTGGGGAGACAGATGGTGAGGGGGCTGAAGCAGAGGAAGAGGAGGAGGAGGAGGAAAAAGAAGAAGCATCTGAGAAGGGGATTGGGAAGGTGGGGGGAGGGAGGGAGGAGGAATAATCGTCCATGCTGGAGAGCAGCATGTATTGACTCTCTGTGATGGCGTTGCTGGCTGAGAGGCCACGCAGGAAGGCGGTTTGGGTTGGGATGAACGCTGCGAGCTGATTGGCCACGAGCATGCCGAACGCAGCGTGGCGCTGCTGGTTGATGACGTGGCAGAGATGCGCGGAGGGCCAGCGCAGCATGAAGCGTGTGGCCTGCGCACGCCACCAGTGGGTCTGATTGGATGAGAGGTGGGTGGGATGGGGAAATGAGGGAAGGGAGAGAGGGGGGAAACAGGAGCGACGGAGGGGGAGGGAGGTGGGCGGAGGGCCAGCGCAGCATGAAGCGTGTGGCCTGCGCTCGCCACCAGTGGGTCTGATTGGATGAGAGGTGGGTTGGGGGATGGGATGGGACGGGATGGGATGGGATGGGATGGGATGGGATGGGATGGGATGGGATGGGATGGGATGGGATGGGATGGGATGGGATGGGATGGGATGGGATGGGATGGGATGGGATGGGGTGGGATGGGATGGGATGGGATGGGATGGGATGGGATGGGTTGGGATGGGATGGGATGGGATGGGATGGGATGGGATGGGATGGGGTGGGATGGGGTGGGATGGGGTGGGGTGGGATGAGGTGGGATGGGATGGGGTGGGATGGGATGGGATGGGATGGGATGGGGTGGGGTGGGATGGGGTGGGATGGGATGGGGTGGGATGGGGTGGGGTGGGATGGGATGGGGTGGGGTGGATGGGGAGATCGGTTGTGGCATCGGCAAAAGATTTGTGAACGGGGTTGACAGGAGGTGGTACGGAGGGAGAGAGAGATGGGCGGAGGGCTAGCGCAGCATGAAGCGTGTGGCCTGCGCATGCCACCAGTGGGTCTGAAGGGATGGGAGGTGGGATGGGAGGGGAATGCGTGTGGTGCCCTGAGTTGGCAGGGGAAAAGAGGGACGTTTTGCTGAAAGAGGCTGGAAAATAGTAGTTGGCGGGTTTTTCTTGTACCTCATAAACTGTCATGCCATGCCATACCGCCCTATACCTCTAAGCCCACCCACATTCCTAACCACACGACACAATTGAAGTATGCCACTAGCCTCATGCCCACTAGTATCCATCATGTTATTGCCTCAGACGTTCCTCAAAATGCTCTCACCATGCCCTCACCATGCTCTCACCATGCCTTCACCATGCCCTCACCATGCCCTCACCATGCCATCACCATGCCCTCACCATGCCCTCACCATGCCATCACCATGCCCTCACCATGCTCTCACCATGCTCTCACCATGCCCTCACCATGCTCTCACCATGCCATCACCATGCCCTCACCATGCCCTCACCATGCCATCACCATGCCCTCACCATGCTCTCACCATGCTCTCACCATGCCATCACCATGCTCTCACCATGCCCTCACCATGCCCTCACCATGCCCTCACCATGCCCTCACCATGCCCTCACCATGCTCTCACCATGCCCTCACCATGCTCTCACCATGCCCTCACCATGCTCTCACCATGCCATCACCATGCTCTCACCATGCCCTCACCATGCCCTAACCATGCCATCACCATGCCCTCACCATGCCCTCACCATGCCCTCACCATGCCCTCACCATGCCTCACACACAAGCCTCGCCATGCTCTCATTGGTCGACATGCCTTGCATCTGCCCCCAGTGCACCACGGTGGGTGGTGTGGTCAAATAAACAGAACCCCACAGCCTGCAGGTAGGTAGGGGGAAGAAACGTGGGGGGAGGAAGGAGGGGGGAGGCATACATCTACCCACAGTGCCCGGTTAGGGAGAACCCCACAGCCTGTAGGGAACGGGGGAGAAAATTGGGGGAGGAGGGAGGGGGAAAAGCTACGTGTGCTCACAGTGCCCACAGCCTGCAAGTTGGCAAGGAAAAAAGGTGGTGAGTCGGGGGGTGGGAGGATGGGGGACGGAAGATCAGAGCAGCACCAGAGTGGTGGGAGGACAGAGGACGGTGGATATCTGTCAAGTTCGAACGCTCTTCCTGTCAGATTCTTCGAGTATTATCCTAGCTCACTTCTAAACTTATAGCTGGTGATTCGAACTCTTACTTTTTGGCCTACAACCGTGCGTCCCGAGACATCACAAATAATCACACTCCTGTACAGCTGCGCACCTACCACCTGCTTGTTCTTGTCATCACGATCATTGAGGTCGTTTTTGAGGCGCCTCAAAAACGACCATAATCACACTCCCGTACAGCTGCGCACCTACCACCTGCTTGTTCTTGTCATCACGATTGTTTCCCCCCCTACGTTTTGGTAACCACGGTGTTTTTTTCTTGTCAACAACCATGTCTATCTGACGCCGCTGCTGCTGTGAAGCCGGCACGTGATGATGGGTGGATACATACACTCGTACACACTCACTCAGACACACCTGGCCGCCTCACTGCCCTGCTGCTCCACGAACAGCTCTCCTAGCTGCTGCAGCTCCACACACACCCACAGGGGCATCCGACGCCACTGCTGCTGTGAAGCCGCTAAAGAGTCATGGCGGCACTCCCGCATGCTCACGCATTCGCTCTCACACACACATACCTGCCTGCCTCGCTGCCTTGCTCCATGAACAGCTCTCCCAGCTCTTGCAGCTCCACACACACAATGGGCGCATCTGACGCTGCTGCTGCTGTGAGGCCCTGAGAGGCGCAGGGCGGCACGGCACCCGCTGCCAGGGCCTGCTGCGCTCGTTGCGTGCAATCAGACGAGGCGACGGGGAAGAAATAACACTCCCATGACCCCCGCTGGCCTAGGTCTGGGGAGAAGGGACGGGGAGAGGGATAGAGGGAGGGAGGGAAGGAGGGAGGGAGGGAGAGAGGGATAGAGGGAGGGAGGGAGAGAGGGAGGGGAAGGAGGGAGGAAAGGAGGGAGGTACGGGGGAAAAGGGGAAGGGGGGAGGGAGAGAAATATTGGGGGAGAGAGAGGAATATCTTAGCCACTGGGAAGTGCACTGCACTCCACTGCACCGCACCGCACTGCACTAGAGTGGAGTGCCGGGGACGAAGCACACTGACACATCCGTCTTGGCAGATAGTGAGATGTCCCAGAGCCCAGGGCAACTTTTGAGTCGACTCAAAAGCCCACTGAGATGTCCTAGAGCCCAGGGCAGGCGGGACGGGAAGGAAAGGAGGGCAAAACACGCGCCTTGGCTCGCACCTCACCGCACCTCACTGCACCTCACTGCAACTCCCAAGCCTTAAAGCCCATGGCACACACCTTGGCAGGCGGGGAGGAGGGCGTGGTCGAATTGTCCAGGCCAGGGCACCAAGGTGCGATTGTGAGCCATAGCTATGCTCAGATACGCCCCCGCCAGATGCACCTGCACCAGTACAGGACAGAAAGGACAACTTGCATAATTGCCTGCCTGAGAATACCACCTGAGGTTATATGAAAAACCACCTCAGCAAGACCTCTGTCCAATTATCCACAACCTGCCCAGGCACATGAGACTCCACCTGACCACTTGAACCACCTGACAAGGCACCTGACCTGACAACTCACCTGACAACTCACCTGACCATTCAACTGACCGCCAAAAGAAGATCCAACTGATCGTTCATCTTAGAATCCACGGATGATCAGCGACTCCACCTAAGAAGTACCTGCTTGTTCACCTGAAAATTCACCTGACCACACACCTGAGACCCCAAGTCGTGGCGTTCAGCCGGCCACCAGCGAGCCAGTAGCAGGCGCCGCCCCTCACAGGACGCTCCTATTCGCTGGCTCTCCCAAATGTCTCTCTGCGCGACACGTGTCAGTGGAAGGTTGTCCACGTCAGCACCCCTCACCCAGGGCGGGAGAGGCCCCTCCCCGCACCCCTCCCCTCCCCCTTCCGCCCCCCCCACCGCACCCCCACGCACCGGTTCCACGCTTCTTCCCCCTTCCCCCTGGCCCCGCGCCCATAAGGGCGGCTCCCCCCCTGGTCCGCGCGCCTCTGAGGCGCGGCGCCAGGCAGTGCGCGCGGAGCAGTCCTCCAGGTGGGGCGCGGGGGGAACGGCGGGCGGAAAGGGGAGTGGGGAGGGCGGGGGAAGCAGCGACGAGGCGTAGTCTAGCCCGTAAATCTGCGCCCATGACTGGGGGACGGGGACGAGTGCGCAAAAGGCAGAGGGAAGGCGGGGGGAGAGGGAGGGAACGGGGGAAGGAATGTGGGAATGGCTTGGTTGCAGGGGATTGGGGGGAGGGGGAGGCGGGGGGAGGAGGAAGGGGAGGGGGAGGTGGAGGTTGAGGGGGCATGGGAGAGTGGATTAAAAAAACCGGGGTTGCGTAGAGACGAAGCAAACCGTGGCGGTGGCTTATACCGCGTACAACTCTTTAGCACGCTCTTTAATCTCCTCCCCGTTGACTGCTAATAACCTTCGCCCGCCTTCCGCCCTTCCGCCGCCATAGCCATCCCCGCCTAAGGAGTCTCCCCCGTCAATTCCCCTTGTGACGGCTGTAGCCGCCACTACAACCCAGGCCACGACCAGCATCAGCGCCGATCGCGATGTACGCGTAACAATCTTGCCAGATAACGCCATAGTTTTTAAGTCGTCGCGCATAGTCAAGTCACCGCGTATCGCCAAATCAACTTGTGAAACTCACAGCGCATTAAAGCGTAAGAGTTAACTCGGCGCGCATAAGCTGCAGCTGAGACGAGCCGCTCGTCTCAGCGCGTGGGCACCCTTGCTTTGAAAATTGTGCGTGACTTTTGCAAATCAGGCTGAAGTTCATGTTTTTTTTTTCGAATTTTCACATTCGAACTTTGGTCGACCTGTGGTCGACCATCTCGACTTTTCGTGGTCGAGGAGCAGCGTCAGCAATTCCGAGTCGCGCATGGAACAACAAAGTTCGAATATCAGAGTTCAATTTTAAACAGTAGATTACAAGTCGCGCTAGACTTCTGTAGGTTACCTGGTTGTGCGGTGCAGTTCGTGACCGGACCAGAAATTGGCAGCCCGATACATTTTCCCTCGTCATCGTCGCGAACCTCGCAAAATTTCGGGCGTGCGTCAAAGAACACACGACTGGAAAATGGTAAACGTTAAAATCCGAACGCTGGTCGACTTCAGTTTAGTGTCCAACTTCCTTCACACAGTTTGAACCAGGACACACAATTCCCTCGCGAATATTTTGGCGACAGTAACGGAACGGGTTACCAGCAAAAGTTCGCCCCTATTTTCGAACGTCTACACCAAAATACACGCGCCCTCAGTTGCTCTTTTGTTGTCACAATTTGACCAAGGATTGACGCGATAGCAGTAATTCCGATACAATCCGGCGTAATTGGGCACTGGACAGAACCTTTTTTACAAACCATAATAATACAAACAATCTTCTACACAGGATCAATACAACTAAGACAATATTATTGGAAGGGCTGGTTGCTCGCAGCCCAACCAGCTGCAACCACAGCCAAAACCACGAGCGCAAACTTCTTCCGATTCTCTTTGAAGCGATCCATAAAGGATTTTGCAAGAGGAGCCTTATCAGTGCTTGGTGTGCCATTAGCTTTAGTTCCACTTGACATACCTAAAAGGAGGACAGATCAATAAACATAAACACCAATACCAGTATCTTGATCTGTCAAATTCCATTATCCCTTGGCAGAAAAAAATGGCGAATGAAAAGGTTGTCGCGAAAAAGCACGGGAGTAAACAAGCGATGCCTTACAGGGCGACTCACTGGCAGCAGAGTGATCCGAGCACGACGGCAAGCAGCGTGAAGGTGAGAGTGATGACTTACGGCAACACTTGAGCTTGCACCAAGCATCAGTGCATGTCAAGGTCAACACGTAGAGGGCTCACCAGCAGCACATGGGCGAAGCCTTGAGGGTGCTGAGGAAAGAGAGGCAGCAGGGCAACTCACCAGCAGCAGCAGCAGAGGGGCGGTAGCGCAAGGATTTGAAGAGCGACCCGAGCACGATGGCGAGCAGAGTGCAGGTGAGAGTGATGACTTACAGCAACACTTAAGCTTGCACCAAGCAACAATGCATGTTTGTGGCGCCTTACGTGGCAACTCACCAGAAGCAGCAGAGGGGCGGTATCGCAGAGTGTTGAAGAGCGATCCGAGCACAATGGCGAGCAGAGTGCAGGTGAGTGTGATAACGTTGTAAGGCATGCTCAGGTCGGGCAGCGGCACTGGCACCACCACCGGTGGCGCATACATGTGGCTCGGACCCTGGGGGTCCTGAGGTGGCAAGTGGAGGAGGAAAAAGGGCGAGCAGAGTGCAGGTGAGTGTGATGACATTGTATGGAATGCTCAGATCTGGCAGCGGTACTGGCACCACCACCGGTGGCGCATACATGTGGCTTGAACCCTGGGGGTCCTGCAGCGAGCAAGAGGGAGGAAGGGGGGATATCACCATTTGAAAATTCTCAAAAAGCAGCATCACAGGGGTGGCACCACCATAGGGGCACCGGCACTGGCACCAAATACCGAGGGCACAGTGACGGTGAAATTACAGAGGGCACAGTGAGAGTGGCAATACCGAGGGCACAGTGAGAGTGGCAATACCGAGGGCACAGTGAGAGTGGCAATACCGAGGGCACAGTGAGTGTGACAACAACGAGAACACAGTGAGTGTGACAATACCGAGGGCACGGTGAGTGTGACTATACCAAGGGCACGGTGAGTGTGACTATACCAAGGGCACGGTGAGTGTGACCATACCAAGGCACGGTGAGTGTGACTATACCAAGGGCACGGTGAGTGTGACTATACCAAGGGCACGGTGAGTGTGACTATACCGAGGGCACGGTGAGGAGGGCAGCGGGAAGGTCGACTCCCCTGCTGGCATCAGGCGGCGTTTCAAAGACCGTCAGAAAGGCCTGCAGGGGGGTGGGAGGTGGATGGGAAGATGAGGTGGGAAAGGTGGTGTGACGAGGGAAGAGGCGAGCGGGAGAGTGAGACCCCTAAGTAACCGCACCTTTCTGTACTGCACTGTGATTGTAACGCGAGACACTCCCCTGGGCATGCGCAAGAGCAGCTCCAACACAGCAGGCGGGCCCCTCTCCCTCGTCAGTGTGGTTATAACTCATGAGACTTGATACGCCTAAGAACCCACACCTTTCTGTACTGCAGTGTGATTGTAGAGTAGAAAGTGACAGTTCCGAGGGCGCAGTGAGTGTTACACACACCTTTCGGTACTGCACTGTGATTGTAACGCGAGAGACTCCTCTGGGCACGCGAAGCAGCAGCTCCAGCACAGCAGGCGCGCCTCTCTCCCTCGTCGGTTGTAGCCGCGCCACTACAACCGCACTGCTGTCCCTCAGGCTGACAGGGTGGTGGTCGAAGGAGAGAGAGAGCGTGTGCAGGTACAGCTTCAGCCACCACGGCACCGCCTGGAACACACTCACTGTGTCGCTCCCTGTGTCGCTTCCACACTCCCCGCTCTGACTCCCTGTCTTGGAAGAATCATTGTTCTTTTTTATATCACATGCTCTTGCAGCACCCCCTGCTCCTCCTGCTCTCTGAATCAGGAAGGTCAGTCCCCCCAGGGCGTCTCCTGTGCCTGTGGTGAACCGAGAAAGGACGAACAACGCCGGCCGCCGCTGCCATGCCACACGCCGCTTCCAGTGAATGCCTGCCGAGCTGACCGCTGCCACGTCACCCACATGCAACGCTGAGTCAACACCATTGCCAGCAGCAGCAGCAGTAGCGGTAGAGGCAGAGGTAGAGCCGTGAACTTGATGGTGGCGCATGTCACGATGCAGCAGCACTGCTTCCACTAGCTGCACGCCCCCCATTCCCCCCACGCCCCCCATTCCCCCCACGCCCCCCATTCCCCCCATGTCTTCTGCACTCCAACCCCCTGACCACACAGCACCACCTCTCTCCTGCACTCTCACCCTCCACTTCCCCTCTAGGCCAAACACCGCGTTGCTTCTGAGGAAAGTCGCCCACCCCACTTTAGAGGCACTCCCGTCACTGTCACCTCTATTACAGGCAGCAGCAGTGGCAGCAGCAGCGTTAACAGTAGCAGCAGTGGCAGAAACAGCGGCAGCACCTCCTGCTGCACCAGCAGTGAGTTGAGCTGCGGGGCAGAGGAGACCGGACGGCACTCTTATTGCCACGTCAGTTGACGTGGCAAAGGGACACACTGACGTCAGCTGCCGCCCAAACAGCGCACCCACGCTCCAATCAGGCGGCAGCGGAAGCACATCACTCAAATCAAGCCCCTCTTTTGCTGCTGCACCTGCTGAATTGGAAGGAGCAGAGGGGACGGGTTTGGTGGCAGCGGCAGCCGCAGCGGCGGCAAGGGCGTTCTCAGTGGAGGCATCGAGCACGACGGTGAGCGACTGGTGCAGCATCACTGCCCATGTCACACCGGCACAGACAGGCGTGGCGGGGGAGATGTAGGGGGAAGTCGCGGAGGAGGATGAAGAGGATGAGGAAGAGGATTTCTCAGCAACACCACACACACTCCCTCCCTCTCCCACACTCCCTCCCTCTCCCAAACTCCCCTCCTCGACCACACTACCCTCATCGCACACATGGGTCCACACGGCAGTGTGCAGGGAGTGGTAGCGCCCGCCAAACACGGCCCCGCGGTCCATGAGAGACGAGAGCCCTGCCGCGTCGCGGCACGGCAGCAGCTTCAGCCACGGCGTCAGGTTCTCCGTGCACACCGGCTCCCGAGCCATGCTGCCGTACCTCACGTGCAGGCTCGGCGGCTGGTTCGGTAATGGTGAGGAGGAGGAGGATAGGGGTTGGGATGGTGAGTGAGTGTGGTTTGCGGGGAGAGGGAATGGGGTGTGGAAGTGAAGAGCGGGGGAGACGACGGAGGAGGGGGACTGCAGGAAGTTGAGCGAGGCACAGAACAGCCCTGCCAGGGCGTCGGTGAGGTTGTGCCACGTGGCATCCAGCTGGCATGAGGGGGAAGGTTGGGAGGGATAGAGATGGGAGACGGGAATGAGGGGAAAAGGGATGAGGGATGATGAGGATGAGTGGGAGAATGTCGACAGGAAGTATGCAGGTGCTATGATGTCACAACAGTCCAAGACTTCATGGAATGTTTAAGACCTCTTTTTTTTTCTTCTTTTTTCTTTTTTCAGATGTTTAAAAAATTAACAACAGTTCAAAAGCTCATGAAATGAGTCCCACTGTTTCCTCTTTCCTCTCACCTCTCTCCCCCCTTCTCCGCCCATCCACGCGACCAGCTGTGCCCCTGGCGGCCTCACGTCGTACTCTTGGTGTGAGAGAGGCGGGGGAGGGGGGAGAGGGGAGGAGGGTTGAGAGGGGGGAGAGGAGGAGGAGGAGGAGGAGGAGGAGGAGGAGGAGGAGGAGGAGGAGGAGGAGGAGGAGGAGGAGGAGGAGGAGGAGGGGGTACCCCATTGCTGCACGTCCCAGTTGCCGTGTGTGAGAGAGAGTGAGAAATGGCGCACACTTAACGATTGCACCTGGTGGGGGATGGGGAGGAGGGAATAGGGAAGAGGAAGAGGGAAGTCGGGAGGAGGTAATGGGAGTAGGGGAGGGGGAGGCGGGGAGACGGGAGGAGGGGAGGCAGGACTTGAGAGAAGGGAGGAGGAAGACGAGAGGAGAGAGGAGGGAGGATGGGGGAGGTGCCTATGAAGAATGTGCTTGGGGAGCAAGGTGTGTCGACACAAGGGACGAGAAGATGGAGAGGGAGGACGAGGGACAGAAACGGAAATGGGGGAAGGCAACGGGGACAACGAAACGCTGACAAGGCGCGCGGATTCTACTATGACGGCGCGGCTTACAAGGTGCAGGATGGCCGGGGGGAACAGAACCGTGTCCGCGGACTTTCCACCTTCTTCCAACTCTCCCGTTCCTCCCGCTCCTCGCGATGCCCGCAGCCGGCTTTCGAACGCGAAGTGCGCCAACACGCGGCCATCTGGCAGCGGCTCGAGCATCAGCCGTTCGTGAAACTCCTCGCGACTCGACACTCTAACGCGATCTGATAGTGCTGTTTTCTGCCGGAGGAGCGTATCTGCGGCCGTTAGAGCCGGCCCAGATTCTCCGCCGTAAAAGACGGAGAGGCTGAGAATAATTGCCAGTGGCACGAGCCACATGGCTGAAGGATTATAGGTACAATGCTGTTCGGATCAGCGTGCGTTTGGCGTGCCTGGCAATACCTTTGAAGAATCCTTGAACTTTGCTAGTGATTGACACCGTCCTAACGGGGCAATTGAATGCAGGACGCTGATGAAATAACGTGAAAAGCGACGCGTTCCTAACCTCCTAACAGGCTCTTTGGATGCGGGTTTCTTCGCGTCGCATTGCTTGGGAGAAAGGCATAATTCGGAGGAAAAACGCTGTGGTGTGGTCCCTGTCCGAGAATCTAGTGTTTGAAGCAAGATGGAAGATCAAGTCGGAACTGGCGAGTCCGACAATCCCAAGGGCGATCGAACTGGATGGGAGGCAAAAGCTTGATCGATGCCGGAAACCAGGAATTCAACGAATACGCGGATAAAGAGTGCTGAAATCGCAGGCTTATAATGAAACTACATGACATACATTCTTTGTATACATTGAGCCCTCAGCTCCATCGTTTTCTAAAGACATACTCGGAAAACAATGAATCTGATCCTGCCTTGTCATCAATCTCAATCGTCGCCCCATTTACTGCAACCCCATTACCAACAACACCCTTGGCCCTCCCTCCACTTCCCCCACCACCATCCCCAAACACCTCCCTTCCACTTCGCCATTCCTCCCCAACCCCACCAACATCCTCCACATTAACCACCTCGATACAATCCCCTCCGCTTTCGTCACTCGCTCGAGCCCTCTTTGCGCTTCGTCCCAACAAACCAACTTTAACATGCCCTTCTGCATACCCCCCATCACCACCACCAATGCTAGCAGCCATTTTCCCCTCACCATCAGTACCAGGGGGCACCTGATTGCCAGAACGTTCACTCCAAAGGCTCCTTTTCAGTGTAGCCAAGTCAGAGGAGAAAAACTGTGGGTTTTCCGACGCCTTTGGAGCAGAATTCACATTAGCAGGGGTTGGAAAAGCCGCAGTGGAGTTGACAGGTGCATTCCGTGTATCAGTTGGTTGGTCAGAAGATAACTCAGGAGGTTTGCTGTTACGGTCGTTGCTGATGTCTCCGGCATCCCCCTTGTTGTGTTCTTCAATGAGCCTCTCAATAGTTTCCAGCACACGGGCACCGTACTTGTTGACCTTCACTCTGTGAGGGGACATGGGAGAGGAGGGAGAGGAGGGAGAGGAGGGAGCGGGGGGAAGGGGGTAAGAGAGGTGGGAGCGGGGGGTGCAGAGGGAAGCATCAAGAAGATGGTAAAAGGGAAAGGTGGGAGGATGATGGACATGAATACCTGAGCGAATTTGCATTCACTCTGCACTCACAGCTGCATAACAACAGCTAGCTCTGCCCACCCATCTCCTGCCCACCCCCCTGACAATGCTGGGAATAACGCCACCGTTTTCCGCCCACCCAGCTCCCAAGCACCCACCTGCCAATGCCGGGAATCTCCTGCAGCGCGTCGAGAGTGCGGGGCAGGCGCTGACTGATTAGCACCAGCTGCGCGTTGCTGTGATGGGGGGAAAGGGTGGGGCGAGACAAGTTAAGGGGGGAAGGAATGAAGCGAGGGGGTGAGGGAAGAATGGAGGGGAAAAGCAGGTGAGCATGCAGGGCAGGTGCTCACTGATAAGAAAACCAACTGGGCGTTGCTGAGAAGAAAAGGGCAGAGGGGGGATGGAGAGAGCATAGTGTGGCTACAAGCTGGCTTGAGACTCGACACACTGGCTTGAGACTCAACGTACAAGCTGGCTTGCACAAGTGGACGAGAAGCACAGGTGGGGAGGCTGTGGTCCGAGGTGACTTTTGAGTCGACTCAAAAGTCACCTCAGAGGGGGGACGGAGAGAGCATAGTGTGGCTACAACAAGCTGGCTTGCACAAGTGGACGAGAAGCACAGGTGAGGGGGCTGTGGTCCGACTGACAATGAGACTCGATAGAACAAGGGTAGCGTACTGGCACGGCACGTTGCTGCCGTGCTGTGCCGCTCAGAGCGCAGGAGAGAAGGGAAGGAAAACCAACGCACCAGATGCACGCAGCAGGCGAGCAGCCCCACTCCACTCACCCGAAGATGTGGTAGGGTGCGAGGTTCTTGCCCGACTCCTGCACCAGGGTCTGCCTCAACGCGTGCAGTGCCTTGTACACCGCCCCTGACAGCACCTGAGAAGAGGGAGAGAGGGAGGGTGGAGGGGAGAGGAATCAGAGCCAGTGTGCAGTGCAGTGCACGGAGAGGAGAGGACAGATTTTCACAGTTCCAGCACTTGATTCTATTTTTGTTGCATGCAACCTTCAAGTTAAAATCCAAGGCCTGATTGAATAAGCATAAAGTGGGGCATTTACAATTAACAAGGGAGGGGGGCGCACGGGAAAAAAAAAAAAAAAAAAAAATCAGAATAGAAAGAAAGAAAGAAAGAAAAAACACTCGAATGTGCCGTTTCTGCTTCCTGTCACCCTCTCAGTCAAGCAGTGTGAATCACAGTGAAGGTCACAGCAGATCTTCCGTCACATCTCAGCTCAGCTCTGCTCACCACATCAGCCGCCTGTTTGGGTGGCGAAAAGGGCGCAGCCGAGTCCACAGCAGCAGCCGCCGCAGCAGCCATCTGTTGAAACCCCTTCCCTGCTCCTGCTGTTCCCTCTGCTCCCCCTGCTCCTTGTGCTCCTTCCGTTTGCTCAACTCCCCCACCAACCCCAGAAGAGAACCCCCTGTTACCAGCACCACCAGACCATCTCACATCACCAGAACCATCATCACCATTATCAATCTCATCAGCCCATGAATCTGCCTCCACGCATCTCCCTCCTCCCATGCTGCCAGCTGTAGACCCATTGGCAGCAGCAGCGGTAGCGCCTTTCCTGGTTCTGGCTTGCCTCCTGCCCCTGCTGCCTGCGGCTTTGCCGGTGGGGGTGACGCCGGTGGCAGCAGCAGGTGATGTGGTTCTGCCTGCACCAATTGATGCCTGTGCGGAGTCAGGTCGCTTCTGAATGGGGAAGCTGTGGTGGGAGAGGCATGGGTAGGTGGAAAAGCTCTTGAATGTAAGAGTGTGTGTGTTTGTGGAACTTGGCTAGCTGTGACGTACCGAAATGCAATCTGTTTCAAAACTGTGAGTATGTGTGTGTGTGAATCTTGACAAGCTGTTTGCGCATTATGGGTACAGGGGTGCTCCCTCACAGCACCGTTCAGTGTGTGTGGCAAGATGACGAAAGATGAGTGACATAAAAGATTACAGAGGCATAGAAGCGTTGAATGGGACATTTCCATTTTTAGAAAGACAAGAAACCAGACCAATAAGCGAAAAGGGAGTAGAAGAAAGATGTCACGAGCTGATACGAGAAGCGCGGAGAAACGGGATGGGGGAGAGTGGGCAGGGAAGGGGAGTGAGCGAAGCAGGGGTGCATTGACTCGGGGTGCAGGGTCCGCGGGAAGCAACCAACTGCAAAGAGCCTGTGGGGTCCGCGGGAAGCACAGGCGCATGTGCGAGTGAGTGAGGTGTCACTTGAGCCAACTGAAAAGAGCTGAGTTTACTCAGCAGGGAGTGGGCATGAGCACGCACCTGAGAGTGAGGTGAAGCTTCCCTGAGAATAGCGCCTCTGCCTTGCTGTCGTTCACCTGCAGAAAGCAGCAGCGAGGATGGAAATGCATGAGAAAGGCAATGGCAAGCACACGCTTTACGTCCCCCGCCCGCGCTCCATGTCCCCCTTTGCCAACCGCGCGTGCCATGTGTAGGCAATTCATTCATCCCAACCCAACAGAGCCACGCACATGCTTGGCTGGCAGTGCAGTGCAGGACAGACACTCGCCCGGAGCAGCGAGGAGGTGGACCCATACGCCTCGCTCTTGCTGATGTCTTCCCGCACCACCTCCACACACACCAGGTGCTGCACCTCGCGCTCCATGTCCCCCTCCAGAGGGTGACACGCATGTGTGTTAAAAAGGGAAGTTGTTACACTCACTCGCAGCACTGAGGAGATAGACCCATACGCCTCGCTTTTGTTTATGTCTTCCCGCACCACCTCCACGCACACCAGGTGTCGCACCACCCGCTCCATGTCCCGCCGGCTCCACCCCCCTGCCGCCCCGCCCTCCTCCTCGTCCCCGCCACCCGCCTTATTCTCCTCCGCCATTCGCTGCGCCAGAGCTGCGTGCCCATTGCGCTTCACCTGGGCCGTGAAGTGGAGAGCGGTGGGGAGGAGGGATGGGGAGGGGACTTGGAAAAGGCGCTTCAAAAGACATCTGCTGTGCCAGAGCTGCGTGCCCATTGCACTTCACCTTGGGCTGGGTAGTGAAGTGGGAATGGGGGAGAAAGAGAGAGATGCGGGGGAGGGGAGTGGAGAAAGAGGAGGGGAAGGGAGGGGAGGGAGAGGGAGGGAGGGGAGGGGAGGGAGGCGTGGGTTCGCTTAAGGGGCCTCAAAAGTCGTTCACAGGGCCAGAGCTGCGCTCCCATTGCGCTTCACCTGGACTGTTGGGTGGGGAAAGAAGGGGATGCTTTAGGCCGGGAAAGGTGGCTTCCCCTGGAGGCACCTCAAAAGCCCTTCATCGCAGGAAGGAACCTCTCGCGGGTGAGGTGAGGGTAGGGTACTGCGGAGCGGAGGATCCAGGCCGCACCTGGGTGCTGGTGGGGCCCGGCCGTGCAGGCGTGTGAGTGGATTACTGGCACTGCTGGCTGGCTGCTCACGCTGCCTGCTCACAAGTGGCAGATGGTCCATGCGTACCTGGGCACTGGCAGAGCCGCGCAAAAGAACTTTTGAAAATTCTCAAGAATCGCTCACAAGTGGCAGATGGTCCATGCGTACCTGGGCACTGGCAGAGCCGCGCAAAAGAACTTTTGAAAATTCTCAAGAATCGCTCACAAGTGGCAGATGGTCCATGCGTACCTGGGCACTGGCAGAGCCACGCAGGAGGTCAAGGATGTACTGCTGGGTGTGGCGCTCCCCCGTGTCACGAATGAGAGATATCTGTGGTGAGAGGCGAGGCGCATGGGAGTGGCGGAGAGGCGAGAGTGAGTCACAGGGATGGCAAGGAGGATGCAAACTCAAACTCAAACTCAGACGGGTTCGCCTCAAATTCAAAAGGTTTTTGAGAATTCTCAAACTCAAACTCAAACTCAAACTCAGGCAGGTTCGCCTCAAATTTCTAAAGGGCTAGAATCAGAGTCAGAAGTGCTTCCAACTCACGATGCGCAGGGCCAGGCGCGTGATGTTTCGGGGCGCGGAGGCAACGTCCCGGCAGCAGTTGTCGCAGGAGCGGCGGCAGTGCGCGGGGTCAAAGCGCTCCCCGAAATGAGAGAGCTGCACCGTGCGCCGACAGTCCACATCGTTCTCACAGTACGCCACCTAGGGGAGAGAGGGGGGGTGGAGGCGGGAAGAGAACGGGGAAAGAGTGGGGGGGACAAGGGGGACGGGAAGAAGGTAGAGGGGAATGGGGAGGACAAAAGGGAAGGAAGGAGCGTGTGTGTTAGCAGCAGTTGTCGCAGGAGCGGCGGCAGTGGGTGGGGTCAAAGCGCTCCCCGAAGTGCGAGAGCTGCACCGTGCGCCGACAGTCCAGATCGTTCTCACAGTACGCCACCTGGGGGTGGAAGGGTGGTGAGGAGGAGAGGAAGAGGGAAGGGGAAAAGGGGACAAGGTGGAACGGAAGTGGGGCAAGGGGAATTGGATGGAAAGGACTAAGGGGAAGGAGCGTGTGAGTTGGGGCCAGCAGTTGTCGCAGGAGCGGCGGCAGTGGGTGGGGTCAAAGCGCTCCCCGAAATGAGAGAGCTGCACCGTGCGCCGACAGTCCACATCGTTCTCACAGTATGCCACCTGGTGGGGGGAGGGGGAACAAGGGGTAAGGATAAGGAGGGATAGGCGCGAAAAGGAACGTGGAACCAGGGGGAAAGAGGAGGCGGGGGCAAAGGGGAAGGGAAGGGAAAATGCGAACAGTGTGCTCACTCACCATGCGACTCACCATGTGGTGCTGATGACGCATCCTGCAGTGCATCTGACTCACCATGCAGTGCATCTGACTCACCATGCAGTGCATCTGACTCACCATGCAGTGCATCTGACTCACCATGCAGTGCACCTGACTCACATGCAGTGCATCTGACTCACATGCAGTGCATCTGACTCACCATGCGATGAAGGTTGTCCAGATTCGTTTCCAGCTGCTGCTGCGGCCCCATGCCCCCTCTCCCCCCTCCCCCTCCACCCCTCCCACCTGCCGCCTCCGCTGCCCCCTGCAGCAGCATGTGCTTCACCCGCGCCTGGGGTGAGGAGAGGGGAGGGGATAAGGGTGGAGTGAAAGAAACAAAAGGGGAGTGCTTGGCAACGGGAAGTAGGAGCACTGCTGCAGCCCCCACCATGTGCTGCCTCCTCCGCTCCCTGCAGCAGCATGTTCTTCACTCGCGCCTGGGGGTGGGGGCGAGGAGGAAGTGGGGAAAGGGGCCAAGCCATTGCAAGAGAGATGTTTCCAAGAATACATTGCAAGAGAGATGTTTCCAAGAATACATTGCAAGAGAGATGTTTCCAAGAATACATTGCAAGAGAGATGTTTCCAAGGAGCCATTGGTGTTGCCACTGAAGCACGTGCCATATCAGCAAGAAACTAGAATATTATTGTTTTATCAATAATGAAGTAAAATCATCCCCATAGCTGCCAATGTTTTATAAGAATAAGCTCACATAATCGCCATAGCTGTACATGAGCACGCAGGTGGCAGGCAGGTTGTCCCTCCCTGCTCGCCCCGACTCCTGCCAGCCCAGCAAAGGGACGACCACAGAATGATTGTGTGAGACAGCAGAGAGAGATCGACTTCGCCATAAAGACTTTGCCACAAAAGCTTCGCCACAGAGACTTCGCCTTGGCGAACGTTTTTTAGTCGACTCAAAAATTGACTTGTGTGAGGCAGCAGAAAGAGATGGACTTCGCCACAGAGACTTCGCCTTGGCAAGCAGGGCTAAAATCGTACGCAATCAGAGATCTCGAAATGAATCGTTTTCTTTCCTTTCGAAAGAAGCGGCAGCAAAGGGTTACAGGAATTCATGCGGTGAAATGCCGTGGATAAAGAGAAAAAATAGAGAGGTGATGGGAAGTTCGGAGTGCTTTTTGTGATCGAGTTCGAGTGGTAGAGAGCAACACAGAGTGGCGCAGTGCGGTGCACGGCTGACCTGGTGGTAGCCCTCGATGCTCTTAGGAAGGGAATGGTGGATGACGAAACGAACATCTGGCTTGTTGATGCCTGCCGCGAGTGGGGGAAGGGGGGTGAAGGGGGAGAAAGGGAAAACGGCAAAGAACAACACAGAATGGTGAAGTTGTGAGAAAACGTGAGGAAGAACCATTGATTTCATTAGGAGAGATGGGGGTATACATAGTACGGGGGGTTTGGTTGGAACCAAGCCAACATTATTGCCCCCCACCAATAAGTTGGGTTGAGAGATTATTGGGGGGACCAATACTGTTGACCAAGTGGTTCAACATTATTGGAGAGACCAATAATTCCCAACCCAACCTTGGGGGCCAAGGTTTGAGTTCCAACCCCCAACTAGGGTTAGCCCTAGTTCTACACCCAAACTAAGTTTGGGTGGCTATCTCTACCCTAAGCTTATAGGATTGATGTAGGTTACAATGAGGATGGTAATCTGACACAACCCCTTAACCTACAGAAATCCATAAGCATGAGAAGAGAGAGAGTAACAACCCTTGAATCAGTCCCTGGAGACGTAGAAGCGCAGAGTGGTCAGAGCGGTGGAAAGTCTTGGTGAAGAGATCGGCGAGGTTGTCGGAGGAGGCAATTTTGTGAACGGTGATGTGACCATCTTGGACAAGGTCGCGAACAAAGTAGTAGCGAAGCTCAATGTGTTTGGAGCGACCATGAAAGACTGCTTTCTTGGTGAGGTGGATTGTACTGTCGTTGTCACACCACAGGGTGGGACAAGGCTGTGGGGAGCCAAGGTCGGTGAGCAGATAACTGAGCCAACGTGCCTCTTGAGCCGCCATCGTGACCGCGTACAGTTCGGCTTCGCAGGATGAGAGGGCAACGGAAGAGGAGCGGGTGGAGCGCCAGCTGATAAGGCCGCCCCCGAGTGTGAAGCCATATCCTTGAGAGCTGCAACGGTCGGGCTGTGCGTCGGCCCAAGATGAGTCGCTGAAGCCTTGAAGAATGGGCGGGTTCACACCACCAAGAGTGAGGACATGGTCCTTCGTGCCCTGAAGGTAGCGAAGAACACGCATGGCTGCCTTCCAATGTTCTTCACCATGCCTGCCGGTGCCGACGAACTGCGCCAGAACACTGACTGGGTATGCAAGGTCGGGACGAGTGCAGACCATGGCGTACATCAGGGCCCCAACAAGTTCTGCATAGGGATGAGGGGAGGTGACGGGAGTGGTGGGGGGGGGAGAGCCGATGCCCGAATGCAAGTGGTGTGGGGATGGGTTTGCAGGTTTTCATGCCAAACCTCTCAAGAATCTTCTCGATGTAAAAAGACTGAGAGAGGGTGATGGTCTTGGCAGTGAGGTCGCGAGTGATCTCTATGCCGAGGTAGTTGCGAACTTCCCCCAGGTCTTTGCAGGCGAGGCATTTCTGCAGCTCATCCTTGACCTCCTGGAGTTCAGCAGCTGTGTCAGCGGCCAGCAGCATGTCGTCGACGTAGACGAGGATGAAGAAGGGTGATGGGGTGAGGCGCAGGAAGAGGTAGGAGGTGGCATGGGAGGGGCGAAAGCCAAGTGCGCGAAGGGTGGAGGAGAGTTTGGCGTGCCATTCCCGAGGTGCTAGTTTGAGCCCGTAGACAGGGCGTAGCAGCTTCCAAACAGTGGTGGGGTCGTGAGGAGCGTGGAAGCCTTTGGGACGTTCCAGGAAAATGAGCGCATGAAGGTCGCCTTGCAGAAAGGCGGTGGTGACGTCCATGGAGTGAAGAATCATTCCGCGTCTGCCAACAAAGTCCAAAAACACGCGAATGACCGGTGGAGTGGCGGTGGGTGAGTAGGTCTCGAAGAAGTCTGAGCCATAGGTCTGTGCGAAGCCTTTTGCCACATATCGAGCCTTGTAGACCGGAGCGTCGCCAGGGAGTAGTTTTACTCGGAAAAGCCACCTGCCTTTGACCACGTTGTGCTTAGAGGAACGAGGGACGTCGAGAAACGAGCGGTTGCTGATGAAGACGTTGCTCTCCTTGACCATGGCCTCGATCCAGAGAGGTGCATCAAGACAGGCAAGTGCTTGCTCATAGGTGGTGGGTTCGTAGATGGTGGGGGTGGTGGAGAAGAGAAGGACAGTGGTGAAATGCGGTGCACAGGTGACCTGGTGGATTACGAAACGAACATTGGGCTTGTTGATGCCTGTAGTGAGTGGGGCAAGGGAAGAAAGTTGAAAGGACAGGGATGGGATAGGAGGGATGGGAGAGGGGGGATGGGAGGGTGGAAACAGGCCAAGCAGTATTCCAAATGTTTTAATAAATGAGAAGGCATCATGGCTGTAGAACAAATGAACACACAACTGTTACTGACCCAAGCCGAAGGCCACACTCACTCACTCCCACTCCCACACACACCCACCCATGCCAAATGCGACAGTGGCACAGATGACGTTGATCTCGTCCTTGCTCCACCTCCTCTGCACGTCTGCCCGCTCGCCTGCTGCGATGTTGGCATGATAGAACCCCGCTCTGTGGCCCAGCTTCTGCCATCCCACATGCCATGCCATGCCATCCCATGCCACATGCCATGCCACACGCCATTCCACACACCATGCCATGCCACATGCCATGCCATGCCACACGCCATGCCATGGTGCTAGAGCAGCCTTGAGGTACGACTTGCTGTGAGCACTATCCACATTCCCGTATCCTCTCTTTTGTCACCGCCACTCTCTCGCAGTGAGCTGCTCCGAGGTTTTCTCGCAGTCGTTGCATGACAGGCAGTACACAAGCGCTACTCACAGTGAGCTGCTCGGCAGTCTTCTCGCAGCCGTTGCGGGACAGGCACTACACGATGCCTTCCTGAAGAAACACTGACTACAACCTCTTGCACCCACCCTCCTTGACTTGCTGTGAGCACAACTCAACTCACAGTGAGCTGCTCGGCGGTCTTCTCGCAGTCGTTGCGGGACAAGCAGTACACGATGCCTGACTCTCGGAAGAACTGACAATGTGCTACCTCAAGCTACGACTTGCTGTGAGTACATCTCACATTCCTTGGTTCTCTCACCTATCAGCACCCACGCCACTCACAGTGAGCTGCTCGGCGGTCTTCTCGCAGTCGTTGCGGGAGAGGCAGTACACGATGCCTGACTCTCGGAAGAACCCGCTGCTGCGGATGAACGAGTCTATGTCGTCCATGCACCGCCGCCCCTTCGCCCTCACCTCGTACCTGCACAGTGCAGTGCAGTGAGGTGCGGTAACGAAGACACATACGCACATGGCATGGGTGGGTGAGGCACACGGGCGCACAGAGTCAATGTCGTGTCGTCCATGCACCAGTCATTGATTGGGGCGACTGATTGAAGGTCTTCTTGAAGACCACATAAGACCTTCAATACGGTGTGCGCACACCGTATGAGGCAGAGCGCAGTGACCACATAACCCTCCACTCCGTGTTCTAAATCATCTCAAGGATAACCTCATCACACGATTATTCCCCTTCACCCTCACCTGAGGTTGGGGCGGTTGAAGGTCTGTTTGAAGACAACACACTGCTTGAGGCACAGTGCACTGACCACATCCGCCTGCACTGCATGTTCTGAACATTTCAAGAAATGTCTCACACAATCGTCCCCCCCATAACCCCTCTCTACCTGAGGTTGGGGCGGTTGAAGGTTTGCTTAAAGACGACACACTGCTTGAGGCACAGCGCACTGACCACGTCCGCCTGCACTGCATGGGTGGCCGTGGCTGTGAGTGCCATGAGCGGCACCGAGGGGAACTTGCTCTTCAGCACGCCCAGGCCCTGGTGGATGAGGGGAGAGGGGAGAGAGGGGCGTGGGGACTTGCTGTTCAGCACTGCATGGGTGGCCGTGGCTGTGAGTGCCATGAGAGGTACCGAGGGGAACTTGCTCTTTAGCACGCCCAGGCCCTGGTGGAGAAGGGAGGTTGAGGGCCAGGGTAACAAGCGTATGCAGTTACATTCACGAATTACGAGTTACAAGCTACAACTGACTGGAAACGGGTGCATGCAATCACCCCGAAACACCAGCAGCTCACTCTTCAGTCAATTTGGCTTCACTCGACCTCACCCAGTCGCTTCCACTCACTCGTATCGCACCTTCGTTCACAGACTGGTAATTCGTTTTATCTCGCTTCACCTACACACATGTCACACCTGGTAGTCGGGGCGGAAGTCATGCCCCCGCTGGCTCACACAGTGTGCCTCATCCACCACCATGCGCACCGGCAGGTCCCCCTTGCGCTGACTCATCTCTATCCCACTTCACCCATTTGCACACCTGGTAGTCGGGTCGAAAGTCATGACCCCACTGGCTGACACAGTGTGCTTCATCCACCACCATGCGCACCAGCAGGTCCCGCCGGTACAGCCCCTCCAGATGCCGAAACAGGTTGTCGCTCCTGTGGAAAGGACGAATAGCAAACCAGGGGAAACTGGGTGAAGGGGGGTGGCGAAGAGTGCTGATGGGGACCGTGGAAAGGGCAGTTGTGGAAGTTTCAGCACGCCTTGACACGTCTCAAGAATCACAACGTTCTTGCCACATTTTTTTCTCTGGGATGACATTGAGCAGGTCGACTCAGCAACATGGCGAGCAGGGCTCCTAGCGACGCAATACTGACCCACCTGCCGTCATCGCTCTCCCACCTCTCCACACGGCCCCACCTGACGATCTTCTCCGCGGTGACATAGAGCAGCTTGATCTGGCAGCACCGCGAGCAGAGATGGCTTGTTACCTCGCACCTGCCAAGCTTTCGACTTCCCCCGCTGCCCACACTCTCCCCGTTGCCCACACTCTCTCCCTTGCACACACTCTCCCCCCTTGCAATCACTCTCCCCCCTGCACTCAATCTCCCCCTTGCACTCAATCTCCCCCTTGCACTCAATCTCCCCCTTGCACTCACTCTCCCCCTTGCACACACTCTCCCCCTTGCACTCAATCTCCCCCTTGCACTCACTCTCCCCCTTGCACACACTCTCCCCCTTGCACTCACTCTCCCCCTTGCACTCACTCTCCCCCTTGCACACACTCTCCCCCTTGCACTCACTCTCCCCCTTGCACTCACTCTCCCCCGTTGCACACACTCTCCCCTTGCACTCACTCTCCCCCGTTGCACATACTCACCCCCTTGCACTCACTCACCCCCTTGCACACACTCACCCCCTTGCACACACTCACCCCCGTTGCACTCACTCTCCCCCTTGCCCACACTCTCCCCCTTGCACACACTCACCCCCGTTGCACTCACTCCCCCCCTTGCCCACACTCTCCCCCTTGCCCACACTCTCCCCCTCGCCCACACTCTCCCCCTTGCCCGCAATCGCCTGCCACCACTCTCTCACCTTGCGATCTTCTCAGGAGTGACATAGAGCAGTTTGATCTGGCAGCACGGCGAGCACAGCTCCTGCAGGATGCGCTGCTGCTCCGGCCACTCCTGGCTCGCGCTCAGGCACGCCGCAGGGATGTTGTACTGCCGTGCAGTGCAGGGGTTGAGTGCAGTACACACAGGTGCATGGGAATCAAGAAGTGGGGACGGGAAGCATTTGCTCCGGCCACTCATGGCAGATGCTCAAGCAGGCTGCAGGGATGTTGCTCGTAGTTCTTCGGAGCATGCAATGCACCGAGAAAGAAATACAGTAGCCACGTGTATAAAGTAGATTTTTGAGACGTCTCAAAAGTCTACTTTATACACGTAGTTCGTCGGAGCATGCAATGCACCGAGAAAGTTTTGAGACGTCTCAAAACGGAGCATGCAATGCACCGAGAAAGAAACCACAGCTTCAGAGAGGAGAGAGAGGCAGGCAAAGAGCGTTCGCACTCAACGAGAATGGATGCATGGAACTCAAACCATAAACTGTGAACTCGCCTCGCACCTGCTCGAGGTGCATGATCTGGTCGCACCTGCTCGAGGTGCATGATCTGGTCGCACCTGCTCGAGGTGCATGATCTGGTCGCACCTGCTCGAGGTGCATGATCTGGTCGCACCTGTTCGAGGTGCATGATCTGGTCGCAGATGAGGGAGATGAGTGGCGACACCACCAGCGTGACCCCAGGCGAGCACACTGCTGGGAGCTGAGGTAAAGGTGGGGGGAGGGGGGGGAGGGACGGTGGTTATTGAAAGCATCTGAATGGTTGAGATGCATGATCTGGTAACGGATGAGGGAGATGAGTGGTGACAGACACCAGTGTGACTCTGTGCGAGCACACTGCAGGGAGCTGATGCAAAGAAGAGGGTAAGCTCATTGGAGGCGCGTGAAAGGTGGGGTAGCTAGTAGGATTTTCTTCGAAGAATGGAGCTGAGTCAAGAGATATCACCTCACCTCAAATCACCTCCCTCCACCGCGCCTCACCTCGCCTCACCTCTCACATCACCCCACCTCACCTGGTACGTGAGGCTCTTCCCCCCGCCCGTGGGCATGAGCACGAACACGTCTCTGCCGCTCATGGTAGCATTCATCACCTCCCTCTGATTCGCCCGGAACGACCGGTTGCCAAACAGCTTCCAGTTGTGCTCCTGAGGGATTTGGGAGTGGGGGAGTGGGAGGAGGGAGGGGAAAGAGAAAAACGAGAGGGAGGAGAGGTACGAGAGAGAGGGGAAAAAGAGCAAGGGGGAAAAAGAGGGGACTTCTGAATCTCCCAGAGACTGATCCAGTGCTCTCCTCGCACAAGCAAATTCTGCGGCCACAGACACGCTGATCAAGAAGCCAGGAACTACCACGCCACGCCTCGCACCTCCAGCTCTCTTGTCCAGGCAAAGTCCCTGCGAGCCCACTGCCGGTCCGCCGACCCTTCACTGAACCGCACCTCCGACAGACACACCGGCACCACCTCCCCTCTCCTCGCCGCCCCACCATTTTCACCCCCTCCTCCTCCCCCTGGAGGGGATGTGAACCCCCCTACTCCTCCTCCTCCTCCTGCATACGCTGCTCCCACATACCCTCCCCCGTTCACCGCTCCTCCGTATCCTCCTCCTCCACTGGCAACGGAGAACCCTCCTACTCCATTGTTGACCTCTCCAGTCGCAGAGGCATAGTCTCGGTTCGCCCCTGCTGCAGCAAACGACCCTACTGTGGCTGCTGCTGCTGCTGCTGCTGCTGCCCCCATGCCTGCTGCTGGCGCGGCACCCAGAGAAGAAGAGGGCGGAGGGGGGCGGGAGGGAGGAGGGGAGGACCAGGTGCTTCTGGGAGGCGTGCTCCAGCCAGTGGACGGAGGCGTGGGACGAGAGCCAGGCGTGGTGAAGGACGGGGTGGCAGGACAGTAGGGATGGGTGGAGGGTGGTGAGGAGTGGTTGAAGTGTGGTGATGATGTGTGGTGAGGTGATGGGGAGGAGAGGTGAGGGGAGGTGGTTACCCCGTTCTGTGAGTGCTGCTGCAGGGTCTGTATTTCTTGCTGAAGGGATTTCCTGGGGGGGAGGGTGGAGGGGTGTGAAAAAGCGTTTTATTGAAGTGGGTGGGTCAGTAATAGGCTGCTGGTACTCTCCCAACTACCTGCTCGCTCTCCCCACAACCTGATCCCTCTCTCCCCACAACCTGATCCCTCTCTCCCCACAACCTGATCCCTCTCTCCCCACGACCTGATCCCTCTCTCCCCACAACCTGATCCCTCTCTCCCCACAACCTGATCCCTCTCTCCCCACAACCTGATCCCTCTCTCCCCACGACCTGATCCCTCTCTCCCCACAACCTGATCCCTCTCTCCCCACGACCTGATCCCTCTCTCCCCACGACCTGATCCCTCTCTCCCCACAACCTGATCTCTCTCTCCCCACGACCAACACCCGCTTCCCATTACCTGCGCAGGCGGAGCTCTTCTGCCCGGCGGGGGCTCATGTCTCCCGCGTTGTCCAGCAGGTCGTTGGACACGTCTAGCAGCTCGTTCTTGCGCTCCTGTATGTGTGCTTGTAGCGAGGGGCACTGCACCAGCTGTATAGATTGATGGGGAGGGGGGTGCGAAACACGAATGTATTAGATGCCTCAAGGTCGTTGGACACGTCTAGCAGCTCGTTCTTGCGCTCCTGTATGTGTGCTTACAACGAGGGGCACTGCACCAGCTGTATGCATGCATTGATGGGGAGGGAATGCAAAGCACAAACGGTTTAGGTGCCTCAAGGTCGTTAGACATGTGTAGCAGCCCGTTCTTGCGCTCTTAGGCACGCGGAGGGGAGAGCATGAGGTGACCATGGGGGGGAACAATGGTGAGCGAAGCTGCAGGGAGCGAAATTCCAGGCACATGGCATGTGATGGCAAGGAAATACGAAAACATCAGTGCACAGACACAGCATACATGACATGGCATGGCATGGTCGTCGCTTTGCTACATGGCGTTGCACGGCACGGTTTGCACTGGATGGCTCAGCCAATAGCAGACAAACAGTGAAACAACAAGTAGCACTCACTGGTGTGCTACATCGAAGTGGAATCACGATTGAGAATCTTCAGAGACACTCACAGGCATGCCATGAGAGCATGGTTGCTGCAGCAGCGGGGGGAGAGGCGGAGGAGTGTTCCAGTTCGTTGCTGGCTTCCCGTAGCTGTTAAGATTCTGCCGCTGGCCTTGTGGTGCAAATCCCTGTTGCTGCTGCTGCCTGTCTGGTGGAATATTCCCTTGCTGCGCCTTGTCCTTGTCCGGTGTGCTGCTGTGCTGCTGCTGCTGGGTTGACTGCCTGACCAGCTCATCCACGTCTATGTCCTGTTGGCCCACACACATGCACGCTCACACACGCACAGATGGACATGCAACGATTGAGGTGTATTTTGAGGCGCCTATACATACACCTCAATGCTGTTGGGTTGACTGCCTCACAAGCTCATCCACGTCTATGTCCTGTTGCCCCCACACACATGTATGCACACATACGCACAGATACACATGAATGAAGACACGCCACAAGAATGTGCACGCATGTGCACACACAGAGGCAGACACATGCGAGCGTGCACGCACACAAACATTCACTCACGCAAACACGCACACACACACGTGGACACACACACACACAAACAAACAAACACACACACACACACACACACACACACGCACGCACGCACACGCACACACACATGCACGTGCATCAGCACGCACAGCATATCATAACTACCACCGTGTACTGGTTCACCTCATGTATAAAGAGCATTGGCTTCTCAGCATTCGTTCTGGACCACACAGGAGCACGTGCTTACTGCTACAGGAGCACATGTCTGCCTTTTGAGTCGACTCAAAAGTCACCTCGTGCTTACTGCTATAGGAGCATATGCCTACCGCCACAGGTACACGCGCCTACTGCCAGCACCACCCACCTGGAACAGCTCATCATCGTCAAACAGACTCCCATTGTCCTGCCGAGGCTGCTGCTGCTGCTGCTGAACCTGCGGCTGAGGCTCGGCCGAACCTGCCGGTCTGGGCCTGTCTGAGTCCAAGCAACCATCTGCCACTCCATGAGGCAAACCTGGTCGTATCCCGGATTCACCATTACCCCCTCTAAATCCTCCTCCCCCCCCTCCCCATCCTCCCACCCCTCCTCCTCCTCCTCCTCCTCCTCCCCTCACATCAACAAAAGATAAGTTACTTCTTGGGTCAGAAATCGAAGGCGGGGGTTGCGAAACAAATGGACGGCTTGGGAAAGAGGTAGAGGGAGCAGGTGGTGCGTGTGTGGGATGCGATGGCCTTCCAGGGGCCGTGGTGCCGGGCTTGCAGACGATGGGAGCGGGTGTTTTGCTGGCGGTGCTCAGGGATGCGATGGCCTGGTGGGAGGGGTGCGGTGAGATAAGGTGCGGTGAAAGACGATGCTGAGGTCGAATAATAATCGCATCTAATCAGACGACCCAGTATGACCGAATACTGATCCGGTATGCTTCTATTGTAGGCTGCTGCACACCGAAAAATCTGTGCTCTGGTGAGATTTTGATATTGAGACGAAAACATGGAGAGCGATTAGCCTACTCTGCTCGGCAGAAACAGAACGATAGTGTAACATGTGTTGAATCCACCCAGCTCCACTGGGTCCACTACGGCCGCGTAGAGTGCGACTCAGCAAAGACGTACATGCCGGTGCGTCCCAGCAGACGCGTGCATCGTACCTGATCTGCCATTGCGTGCATCGTACCTGCTCTGCCATTGCGTGCATCGTACCTGCTCTGCCATTGCGTGCATCGTACCTGCTCTGCCATTGCGTGCATCGTACCTGCTCGGCCATTGCGTGCATCGTACCTGCTCTGCCATTGCGTGCATCGTACCTGCTCTGCCATTGCGTGCATCGTACCTGCTCTGCCATTGCGTGCATCGTACCTGCTCTGCCATTGCGTGCATCGTACCTGCTCTGCCATTGCGTGCATCGTACCTGCTCTGCCATTGCGTGCATCGTACCTGCTCTGCCATTGCGTGCATCGTACCTGCTCTGCCATTGCGTGCATCGTACCTGCTCTGCCATTGCGTGCATCGTACCTGCTCTGCCATTGCGTGCATCGTACCTGCTCTGCCATTGCGTGCATCGTACCTGCTCTGCCATTGCGTGCATCGTACCTGCTCTGCCATTGCCTGCATCGTACCTGCTCGGCCATTGCGTGCATCGTACCTGCTCGGCCATTGCGTGCATCGTACCTGCTCTGCCATTGCGTGCATCGTACCTGCTCTGCCATTGCGTGCATCGTACCTGCTCTGCCATTGCGTGCATCGTACCTGCTCTGCCATTGCGTGCATCGTACCTGCTCTGCCATTGCGTGCATCGTACCTGCTCTGCCATTGCGTGCATCGTACCTGCTCTGCCATTGCGTGCATCGTACCTGCTCTGCCATTGCGTGCATCGTACCTGCTCTGCCATTGCGTGCATCGTACCTGCTCTGCCATTGCCTGCATCGTACCTGCTCGGCCATTGCGTGCATCGTACCTGCTCTGCCATTGCGTGCATCGTACCTGCTCTGCCATTGCGTGCATCGTACCTGCTCTGCCATTGCGTGCATCGTACCTGCTCTGCCATTGCGTGCATCGTACCTGCTCTGCCATTGCGTGCATCGTACCTGCTCTGCCATTGCGTGCATCGTACCTGCTCGGCCATTGCGTGCATCGTACCTGCTCTGCCATTGCGTGCATCGTACCTGCTCTGCCATTGCGTGCATCGTACCTGCTCTGCCATTGCGTGCATCGTACCTGCTCGGCCATTGCGTGCATCGTACCTGCTCTGCCATTGCGTGCATCGTACCTGCTCTGCCATTGCGTGCATCGTACCTGCTCTGCCATTGCGTGCATCGTACCTGCTCTGCCATTGCCTGCATCGTACCTGCTCGGCCATTGCGTGCATCGTACCTGCTCTGCCATTGCGTGCATCGTACCTGCTCTGCCATTGCGTGCATCGTACCTGCTCTGCCATTGCGTGCATCGTACCTGCTCTGCCATTGCGTGCATCGTACCTGCTCTGCCATTGCGTGCATCGTACCTGCTCTGCCATTGCGTGCATCGTACCTGCTCGGCCATTGCGTGCATCGTACCTGCTCTGCCATTGCGTGCATCGTACCTGCTCTGCCATTGCGTGCATCGTACCTGCTCTGCCATTGCGTGCATCGTACCTGCTCGGCCATTGCGTGCATCGTACCTGCTCTGCCATTGCGTGCATCGTACCTGCTCTGCCATTGCGTGCATCGTACCTGCTCTGCCATTGCGTGCATCGTACCTGCTCTGCCATTGCGTGCATCGTACCTGCTCGGCCATTGCGTGCATCGTACCTGCTCTGCCATTGCGTGCATCGTACCTGCTCTGCCATTGCGTGCATCGTACCTGCTCTGCCATTGCGTGCATCGTACCTGCTCGGCCATTGCGTGCATCGTACCTGCTCTGCCATTGCGTGCATCGTACCTGCTCTGCCATTGCGTGCATCGTACCTGCTCTGCCATTGCGTGCATCGTACCTGCTCTGCCATTGCGTGCATCGTACCTGCTCTGCCATTGCGTGCATCGTACCTGCTCTGCCATTGCGTGCATCATACCTGCTCTGCCATTGCGTGCATCGTACCTGCTCTGCCATTGCGTGCATCGTACCTGCTCTGCCATTGCGTGCATCGTACCTGCTCTGCCATTGCGTGCATCGTACCTGCTCTGCCATTGCGTGCATCGTACCTGCTCTGCCATTGCGTGCATCGTACCTGTTCTGCCATTGCGTGCATCGTACCTGCTCTGCCATTGCGTGCATCGTACCTGCTCTGCCATTGCGTGCATCGTACCTGCTCTGCCATTGCGTGCATCGTACCTGCTCTGCCATTGCGTGCATCGTACCTGCTCGGCCATTGCGTGCATCGTACCTGCTCTGCCATTGCGTGCATCGTACCTGCTCTGCCATTGCGTGCATCGTACCTGCTCTGCCATTGCCTGCATCGTACCTGCTCGGCCATTGCGTGCATCGTACCTGCTCTGCCATTGCGTGCATCGTACCTGCTCTGCCATTGCGTGCATCGTACCTGCTCTGCCATTGCGTGCATCGTACCTGCTCTGCCATTGCGTGCATCGTACCTGCTCTGCCATTGCGTGCATCCTACCTGCTCTGCCATTGCGTGCATCGTACCTGCTCGGCCATTGCGTGCATCGTACCTGCTCTGCCATTGCGTGCATCGTACCTGCTCTGCCATTGCGTGCATCGTACCTGCTCTGCCATTGCGTGCATCGTACCTGCTCGGCCATTGCGTGCATCGTACCTGCTCTGCCATTGCGTGCATCGTACCTGCTCTGCCATTGCGTGCATCGTACCTGCTCTGCCATTGCGTGCATCGTACCTGCTCTGCCATTGCGTGCATCGTACCTGCTCTGCCATTGCGTGCATCGTACCTGCTCTGCCATTGCGTGCATCGTACCTGCTCTGCCATTGCGTGCATCGTACCTGCTCTGCCATTGCGTGCATCGTACCTGCTCTGCCATTGCGTGCATCGTACCTGCTCTGCCATTGCGTGCATTGTACCTGCTCTGCCATTGCGTGCATCGTACCTGTTCTGCCATTGCGTGCATCGTACCTGCTCTGCCATTGCGTGCATCGTACCTGCTCTGCCATTGCGTGCATCGTACCTGCTCTGCCATTGCGTGCATCGTACCTGCTCTGCCATTGCGTGCATCGTACCTGCTCTGCCATTGCGTGCATCGTACCTGCTCTGCCATTGCGTGCATCGTACCTGCTCTGCCATTGCGTGCATCGTACCTGCTCTGCCATTGCGTGCATCGTACCTGCTCTGCCATTGCGTGCATCGTACCTGCTCTGCCATTGCGTGCATCGTACCTGCTCTGCCATTGCGTGCATCGTACCTGCTCTGCCATTGCGTGCATTGTACCTGCTCTGCCATTGCGTGCATCGTACCTGCTCTGCCATTGCGTGCATCGTACCTGCTCTGCCATTGCGTGCATCGTACCTGCTCTGCCATTGCGTGCATCGTACCTGCTCGGACATTGCGTGCATCGTACCTGCTCGGCCATTGCGTGCATCGTACCTGCTCGGACATTGCGTGCATCGTACCTGCTCTGCCATTCTGAGGAGCTCGCTGTTAAGTGGAGCGAAGGAGAAGGAGCCACGATCCCTGTATACCGAGAAATGGTGGGTGAGTGGGGAAAGGGACGGGTGGGAGAGCAGGTAGTGTCAAGTTTGAGTTTGGAGGAGACGGAATAGCGTTCAGTCTCTGCTAACTGAGACAGCGTTTATCTACTACGGACTGAGACAGAAAGAAGGTGAAGGCGACAGATGCGTGTTTGACGACCCTGGGAGCTTCATGCTGAGTTGGTGCACTGCGGTAAAAAAGAACCATACACATCTATCTCATTCGTCGCGGTGACACGCGCTAGTTATTGGGGAATGACACCCACCGATCATTTTCAGCCAATCGTATTCTGCTGGGAGCAATGGAGAATACGAAGTTTTCCCGCAACCCATTCCCCGTCGCACAGGATTGCCGCAGCCATGGTTGATGCTGCTGCCAGTTGTTGCGAGGAATGGACACCGCTCCTCTTCCTCCATTTGCTGACAACCCTGACCCTCTTCCGCTCCCTGACGAGGTTAGTGAGCTTTTTTGGAAACGATCACGACTTCCGTCGTCACCCTCATTGTTCATGCTGACTAACCGACACAAGTTTTAATCAAGCAAGGAGTCATAGAGTTGTCTGACAACGGAATGTCATGCGAATGCCAGATCCCCAGAGCCACGACAGCCAGTTCGACTCTGAACGACACCTACCCATTCTTTAGTCCAATCCTCGAATAGCCTAGCACGCTCTAAAGCGCACCGACAGTCATTAGCCTTATGACAGACCGAATACGATGCTGACCTTCCGTTGACTGTGCCTGATAACTTGCGGGTTGAAGGTATTTGGCTACAAACTTCAAAGCAAGAGTGACGGCTTTTCACGAATCAGGACAGGCTTGAGTTCAAAACACAACCCCCTCGATATTCCCGTGACCCGTCTCCCGCGAAACGAACACTTGAAAAGCTGACAGACAGCAGAGAGTTTGACGAGCATCCAAAGTTTTGAATTTGTTGGCGAAGAGTTTCGGGTGTTACAAGTGGGAGACAACACACGAAATAGTTGTTCTGACAAACCCTCGCCGACAGTACGCCGTGCGAAAAGAGACCGATGCGTCAGGCTGACGCTCAGCGCTCAACAATACCAGGTCGAGGCTCCGTTAGTATAGGGTCAAAAATTGATTTCTGTCGTCCTGCTCCTAAAACATATAAAACTACTCAACGGCACAGAAAAAAAACACAATGACTGTGCAACGTTATTTTTCAAGAGTTGGTGGTTCATAATCTTCTGGAGGGGTTATCTGAAGGCCAACCCTTCTAGCTGTATCACGGAGCCTATCTTTGAGCTCAGCTTCCCTGTCGATGTCTATGTTGTACGAGTGCAGCAGACTCTGCATGAACACAATGGGGAGATTGGGGATGTGGGGTGGTAAGGAGGTAACTTAATCAGAGGTGTTGAACACACTCAAGATGCGGAAATGCACACTAACACTGTTATATAAAATGCAGGGACTTCGAGCACGATCGGGTTGAGATGTGTTTTGATGGGTGGAGAGACTAGAAAGGCCATGATCAAGACATCAATGACCAGCCAGGCAATTCTTGACGTAGATCAAGGAAGATACCTCCAAGGTGCTCACTAACCCTATCTATCAACGAAGGACACGTGAGAGAATTTCACTTGCGCTTTTATGATTAAACCAGCATGACAGGCGGAGAAGACAGAAGGTCACGTGCACCCGTTGAACTGGTCTTGATCCTTCGATTGCTATAATGCTCGTTACCGACCCTGGATGTTCTCACCTTGTGCGAGTGGATAGCGTCGACTAGATCCGCCCAATCCTTCAGCAAAAGAACACGGCTAGCCCGGTCTACTCCTGCCACGGCAGCACCGCAATTCGCGTCAGCCTCTCTAGCATGGTCCGATGGTAGTGGGTCCCTAGCAGCCCCGTCAGACAAATCTGCAGTGGTCGCTGGGTCTGCGCGAACCATTCCGCGAATAGCATCGCGCGCAAAGCGGTTCCCGGCGACGGCAGTGATGTGGCGATCGGCGATGCGAAGAGCGTGGCGATAAACGCGAAGGACGTCTGAACGAGACGCCATATTGGCGACGGCTGGGGAGGAAGCTTATTTCGTAGCTTGGTGCCTTCTGCGATGTAAGCCAGGCTTTAGCTGGAGAGTGTATGGAGGGGATGAAGTTCCATAACGAATCGGAAAGCATACACGATGCTAAGAGGTTTGGATTGGAGGATGACATGAGAAATAAATAGAAGTATAAATTAAAGGAGTTTCTCCTATTTTTTCTTGTGGTTTATATCTCCTATATAAATCAACAATCACTCATGTCCTTGAAAAACCTTATGTATTTATTATGTATATTACCTTCCATGTTGTTAGCCTGGAGTGAGATCAACTTATGACATGTTATATCTTGTTGAAAGTATGGTCGGTCGCATACCAAGTGTTACTCCTAGGTTCTCGCTATCATACAATATTTATTTACGGAAGGTTGTTTTATAGTAGAGAGGTGCCTCTGCGTTCGATAATAAGGGGTGAGAGTCCGCCCACTGTGTTTTGAATCCTGTGTACACATCATAACAGATACACACTGACCTTGTGTGATTAGCTTACCATTATATATTCGGGCACCCTAAAAAATTCTTGATAAGTTGAAAACATGTTATCAAGGCTCGGGATAAGTAGATTATTGCCGAGGTTGAGCGCATCATTCCAACCGCCGTGCTGCGATCATATGTTGATCGACGCTAGGATCACCTCAATGAGGTTACGATCACCTCGGGAAGGTTCGCACAAAGTTGATTGGTAGTGGTGGGCCCTTGACGTCAATTCAGAGTTGATGTAAAATGACTGAGATAAGAAAAATATGCAAATACAAATATATAAATAAAATTACACATAGTTAATCATGTATTATAAGGGGTACATTCCCTTATTGCGGCGAAATTTAACCGTGCGACTTCAGACGGTTACGAAACTGTCAGGGCTGAATCCTCGCCATTGTTGCTGCTTAATGCTGTCCACCCCGACAGTTCAGATGCTACATAACCGTGCGCGACTCTTCCCATCACTTCCGCCCTTTCGACTTCAGCGTTGGTACTGTATGCTTCGATTGCTATTGTCAGGAGTGCACAGTAACACTTCATCTTTTAATAACCGTAATACGTTGAACGACTTATTTTATGTCAGAGCTATTTACACTTATGTTGGTTATAGGAAATAACATCTACATAAGCTGGTGCACTGCATCTGTCAGAATGTTATCTTATGCTCTAGCCTGTAGTGGGGTGCTCTATAGCGAGTACAACCCTTCTAGGGTTTCCTATTTGTATCCCCATTCTTGCTAGTGCACCCCTTCCTTCTTCTTTCTTCTAAACTTTAACATGCTATCAGAGCAGGTCGATCCCCTTGGATCGATCCTGTGGGTGGGCTTACCACCTCCTAGCTTCCGCTGCAACTCCTACCACTACACTCGGTGCCGCACGCCCCGTGGCGTGTGGCAGTTTTCTTCCCGCCGTGCGCCCCGAGGCGCGCGGCGGTTTTCTTCCCGCCGTGCGCCCCGAGGCGCGCGGCGGTTTTCTGCCCGCCGTGCGCCCCGAGGCGCGCGGCGGTTCTCTGCCCGCTGTGCGCCCCGAGGCGCGCGGCGGGCTTCGGCCCCGTCAACCGTCGCGTCGCCCTCGGGAGGCGCCGCGACGGGCGACGGGGACCCGTTCGTCGCCCCCCGTCGCCCGTCGTGGCCTGCGCGCGGCCCGTACAGGCAGCGCGCGACCCGTACGGGCTGCGCCAGGCCAGCGCGCGACCCGTACGGGCTGCGCCAGGCCCGCGCGCGACCCGTACGGGCTGCGCCAGGCCCGCGCGCCACCCGTACGGGCTGCGCCAGGCCCGCGCGCGGCCCGTACGGGCGGCGCCAGGCCCGCGCGCGGCTCAGGCCGCCTACGCGCGGTTCGGGCGACCCTACCAGGCCCGTGGTGGGCCCGCTCCTTGCTGCCCCTGCCCTCCCTACTGTCCCCCAGCGCTTCTACTCGTGCCCCACCCCTCCTACTCCCCATTCTCCTGTATTAGGGTTTGGGGGTGCGGGGTATGGGGGTGCACCCACTGTGTACTGTTCCCTGCTCCTCCTCCTCCTCCGTCTCCCTGTGCTGCAGCTGCCGCTGAGGGGGGGTGGACGTGTTGGAGCCGGTGGAGTGGTACTAAGGGGGGGTGAAGGGGGAGTGGAGCTAGCGGTGTAGCAGCGGGTATGTGCCAGGGGGGAGTGGGATAGTTTGGGGAAGCTGAATGGAGGTTGCCGTCGTGTCGCCAGCAGCACCTGTATTCCGGGGACTTCGTCCGGTAGCCCAGTCGTAGCCAGCTGTGCCAGCCGCCCGTGGGTCCGTTGCTCGTCTGCCGCTACTTTAGCCGCGGGGCCTGTTACTCCTGTATTCCGGGGACTTCGTCCGGTAGCCGCTGTGCCAGTCTGCCTCCTGTTGCCTGTGTGTCTGCAGCTTCAGCTGTCGCCTCCTATCTCCTCTCCTCTCACTCTCTCTCCTCCTCCTCACTTGCCTGTTGTGACTACCACTAGCTTTGCTCATAATTGTGAACTTAAACTATTGCTTCTTGAACTTGTGCTCAGAATGTGTGGTGACATTGTGATCCACCCTGAGCTTGTACTCCTTTGCTTACTCTGCTGATTACACCCCACTTTGGCTATGGGGGTGTGTCAGAATGTTATCTTATGCTCTAGCCTGTAGTGGGGTGCTCTATAGCGAGTACAACCCTTCTAGGGTTTCCTATTTGTATCCCCATTCTTGCTAGTGCACCCCTTCCTTCTTCTTTCTTCTAAACTTTAACAGCATCCGCTCGGGATGGGACGTGACCTTTGAAAGGCCCCAGAAAAGCAGAACCCTAGCCAGTTCTATGCCCAGTCTTGGCTTCCTGCATGCTTGGAGCTTTCCAAAGGCCACGTCCCGTCCCGTACCGATGACGTGCACCTGTTCGTGTAACGCGTCGTGACGTATCACTGATGCGCGCATGGTGCAACGCCAAGATATTGCACCATGTAGCGGATTACTGATGCAGGCAAATGTTGTGATGGATTAGTGACATAAGCTAATGATACGATTGTGCGACATGTATAGTGTGAGTTGTATAACTTCCACGAAACCCTTCAGCATGGTGGCTGTAAAAATAACACATAAACATGACGGTCTCATATGTGAGCACCGCCCCCAAGCCTGCAAATGGTTAACATGACGCACCAGCCGAACAAGGCCGTTGTTTCGCAATGTCATAACAATCAGTAGCACTGGCTAGAGCGCTGAGATTTTTTGGGCTGATGCTAGTAATTGAACCGGAAGAAGGTGATGACCTAGTTCCTATTAAGGAAAGAAGAAAAAATGGTTTATAAGGTAACCAACACTATTACTTACAGTTGAGTGCAGCAAAATGTGCTTATATTCTGTGTTCTAGCACCGTTTCAGACTTGTTGGTGTTATAGAAACTTTTATCTACATACATGCAGTTTATTTTGTTTAAGTTATATTTCTGGTCGTAACCAGTTTAAGGGGTATCCATTCCTAGATGAGCACGTGCTAACCCCTACTTGGGGCTTGCAGAATACGCCTGCACGGGGGTGGGTTCGATCCCAGGACCTCATCTATCGGAAGTGCCTCTTTCTACTGACTAGGCCACTTCTGGATACATACATGAAGTTAGTATAGCGAGAAACAGGGTGTATAGTCAGAAGAGGTGTTCATACGCACACTGCAGTGGGATGAACGTGGGACAACAACACATCTCGATTGCCCCAAAACGAATCAATAGCGGTGCTCGCATCGGTCACGAGGCGATCTGCTTGTTCCTTAGAGGATTTTCGTTGTGGCTGCCATTGCCCGTTGACATGCGGTGAGGCAAACGAATGGACAGAATTCGCTAAAAGATTCTTCTCGGTCAGGTTAGCTATCCGCTACCATTCGCGGGCGAGGTCTGCTTGATGAAATCTTCACAGCCGCACAGCTTCAGAGCAGTGCTGTCGGGCTCTCGTGTGTCGAAATGATTGCGTCGAGAGGGAAGAAAGGACACGGGCAGCTCCAGCAATTTGGGAGTTGGGGTGAAGTATCTGAAGGTTAATCCGGACCGTTCGTGGGGCTTAGAGATTCGGGTCACTTGTCGGTACCCCTTCAAACCCTATTTTTGGCTTGCACGGTCCGTTTTCCATTCTTGCCCATTCCTCCAGACCAGACCTTGAAGTTGCCGAGGGCGAAGGGAACGAGCAACGGTAGCCATTTCTTTTGCTGACTGAAAGGGTGTGTGTGTGTGTCTGTCTGGTTTCGTCTGGCCATGAAATGGAATCAGTCATTCTCCTCCACGCACTAAACTGGACCACCCTGAAGTTTCACGACTGATGAGTGCAGGATGATGGTGCACAGCAGTCAAGCCAGCGATGAAAGCCTGTCGTAACCCTAACTCAGCGATCTTGAAAGCTCGCCCTTCTTGCCTACGTTTAGGACGATCAATTAGGAAGGTCTCTGGAGTGACATAGCTTGACCGCAGCGTTCTCAAAGCTAAGTGGTATGTTCAATCATCGTGCCTGATTGTGCTGCATTTCGCGTTAGTGTCGAGTCGAGTAATGATGAATAGCATAGGAGCATCTGTAAGCCAGTCGGCGTCGCAGGACGACGGCCAGAAGAAGATTCGGAAGCCGTACACGATCACAAAGTCTAGGGAGAGCTGGACGGAGCAGGAGCATGACAAATTCCTAGAAGCCTTGCAGCTGTATGTCCTAATTTAGTACCTAACGAGTATAACGTCCTTCTATCTTGATTAAGTACCACTCTCAGCAATTTCCCTCGATGCTCAGTAATTTAGTATTTCCGATATGGTTCTGTGTGCGTCCACAGATTTGACCGGGACTGGAAGAAAATAGAATCGTTTGTCGGAACTAAATCGGTGATTCAGGTCGGTGGTAGAATTCTTGAGCTATCTTTCACCCCCCTTGTTATTCCAAACCTAGATTCTCCGCTACAAGAGCAATAAGTCCATATTCCTTACGATAGCTTTACAATCTCCATCAGCACGTCGTCAGCGATTGCAATTGCACAGATATTCCGATTGATACGCCATGACTGCACATATTCCGATATCGAAGTCGTTCTAACAAAATTCTCTGTACTGCAGATTAGGAGCCACGCGCAGAAGTACTTTCTTAAGGTTCAGAAGAACGGCACGGGAGAGCACGTGCCCCCGCCGAGGCCGAAGCGCAAATCCACGCAGCCGTACCCTCAGAAGGCCAGCAGCTCAAAATCAGGAGGTAATGTCCGTCACAGCTTTCCCTTTAGCCAGTTGTGTCAATAGACGCAGGTGAATTTCGAGTCGACTCAGAATTCACGTCGCACCCTCAGAAGGCCAGCAGCTCAGAATGAAGAGGTAATTTTCTTCGCAGCTTCGCATCTAGTCGGTTTCCGTTGCGCCTAGTGTTCTTTTTTTTTCCAATAGGTTCTTCACTTCGTTTGGCCGTAGTTCAAGATTTTTTTATGTCGTCCCCATAGCGTTTTTGTGGCTCCCTGTCATGCCATTCTAGATCAGTATCAACGGTCACACTTCAGCGGAAGCATAGCCTGCCCAGTTGTCTTCTTCCCCAATTCATTCACCAACATCTGTGCTCACTTATCCCCACTCCCCGCTTCTCCCCCCCATCTCAATTCCACCTTCCGCCGTCCCCACCAGCCCAATCCCCCCCTTTCCACGTCCCCTCTGCGGTACCACACCCCGCAGGATGCGGCGACGCAGGGCCCAATTTTCCAGGCGCGGGGATGGCGGGTCCGCTCCCCTCCCCATTCCCGCCAGGAGCGCTGATCCCCTCCGCTTCCGCCGCGAGCCTAGCTTCACCGACCTCCTCCACTCCGTCCGCCATGGCTGCAATGAGCATGTCCGGCCTGGGCCACGGGCTCGGCGGGTCCGTAGGCGCGTCGCTGGCGTCGCTGGGAGTGTCGGGGAGTCATGGCGACCCGGCGGCAGCGGCGGCGGCGGGCGCGGGGATGGCGGGATTGGCGGGGATGGCGGGTGTGGCGGGGATGGGGGGAATGGGGGGAATGGCGGGGATGGCGGGGATCACGGGGATGACGGGGATGGCGGGGATGACGGCTATGGCGGGGATGGCGGGGATGGCGGGGACTAGTGCGTGGATGCATCACGGCATGCATCCGCCGGGAGCCGTTTCGCTTGCTGCCAGAGGTGCGTGAGTGTGGTGGCTTTTGCAGTGGCTATCATTGTTGTCGTTCTTGTGGTTGCGGTCCGAAGCGTTTTGTTGCGGTCGAGAGCGTTTCGTTGCGGTCGAAAGCGTTTCGTTGCGGTCAAAAGCGTTTTGTTGCGGTCGAGAGCGATTTTTTGTGGTCAGAGGCATTTGTTGGGATCCTCTGGCTGTCGTTCCCTCGGCTGACCCCGTGTTAGGGTGTGGCAGTATCTTTCTGGGTCTGGTGTAGAATTTGTTTTTAGCTGTTGCACATTTGTTATTTTTCTTCAGCTTCGCTGATCCGGTTCTTTCGTGCGTCCACCTCTTCGGGGTGCAGGCGGCGGAGCGGCGAGCATGGGAGCAATGGCGGAAGGGCTGATGGCGGGGGTGTCGCAAATGGGCGGCGGCACCAGTGCGGCGGGCGCCATGTGGATGGCGCAAGCCCAGGTGCGCTCCCCCGTGCGTGCTCAATCTCACTGTTCTGCTTCCGCGCGCACGCAACTTTCCCCCATGCTCAATCCACGCGCACTCTGCTTCCCAATGCGCGCATTTCGCGCGCACGTACCGCCCCCCCGTCTTAGCGGTTTCATCAGCCCCTGCCTACCTCGCCGCCTCGTGATTGGCTTTCCTCCGTGGTCTCGCTTCTGCGCTGCTTCCTTTCCGAGCTGTTTCCGTCGCCTTTGTTCACGATTGTCGCTTCTCATATCGTAGCTCCTTGTTCGCCCTGTCCTGTCCTCCCCCGTGCGCCGACCAAGCAGCGACAGCAGTCGACGGGGAACGCCAGCGAGCAGAGAGTTCGAGGTAAGGATTCCACACTCTTGCGTTGATGCTGCTTTCCATGTAATTTTCGCATCCCTTGCTTTCCCTTCTTCTCTCGTTTCCTTCCCTCTCTTCCTGTCCCTACCGCTATTTCTCTCAACCGCCATTCTCTCCCTTCTTCCCGTCCTCACTCATCCCGCCCCCCCTGCTCCCTCACAGCGACTCCGGATTTCGCGGAGGTGTACCGGTTCATAGGGCTCGTGTTTGACCCGTCCACGTCGGGCCATCTCGCGCACCTCAAGGCCATGGCGCCCATCGACCGCGAAACCGTGAGTCTCGCAATACCTTGCTCCTTGTAGACACCGCGAAACCACGAAACCGCGAAACGGTGGGACTTGTATGTAAGCACTAGGCGCGTCCACGCACGTACAGCACAGTCGCAGCTCCTGAACGGTGGTCACTCGGGCCACCTCGCGCACCTCAAGGCCATGGCGCCCATCGACTCGCGAAACCGTGAGTCGCGCAATCCCTTGCTCCTTGTAGACACCGCGAAACCACGAGTCCCGCCGGCCATAGCTCGTTGGGGACGACCGCGAAACCGCGACATCCGGCGGCCAGCAGCAGTGAGGCGCGCTCGTAGACACCGCTCACGAGCGGAACCGTGAGCGGAACTGTGAGTTGAGTTTCACCGCTCACTGCTGAGGCGAATGCGCTCAGCAGCTCCTCCGTGGATCTGTACGCATACTCATTTGTATGAGCTCATTGTAGGCAAGCCTCCACCCTTCACAGTCTGGTCTCAATCAATCACAAGCCCATCCATGCGATTTGCCTCACTAAACGTGCGCCTTCCAATCTCCTTCCGTCTGTCTCTCTGTTCCGCGTTTCCCCTGCTGTCCGCTTCTCCCGCGCCAGGTCCTCCTGCTCATGCGAAACCTCTCCATGAACCTCGCCAACCCCGAGTTTCAGCAGCATGTAAGTCCTGTCCTCCTACTTGATTCTGTTCCCCTTTGCCATTCCACGAACCTCACGAGCCCCGAATAGCGGCATGTAACTCGTGCCTGTCCTTGTGTCTTTTTGGGATGAGCTCTGCTCGTGCTGCTTCACATGCGCATGTGCGGGCACCAGCCTTCCCCTTGTTCCTTCCCCGTTGTCCTTTTCCGTGCTCGTTGCCGTCGCTCCTACCGAGAGGCTTGTGCGTGGATTCGGATGCCATGCCATGCCATGCCATGCCACGCACGCGTGCTTTCGCTGCACCACCAGCCTTCATCTCGCTCGTTCTTTTGTTCCAGGACGCGTTCTCGCAACTCATGTGAGGCACGGGCAGGGCAAGCACCAACGACGCCGCAGAGGTTACTCTTGAGTCGACTCGACTATATATATTCTCAGACGTGACTTGAATGTGGTTCGCTCACTCTCTTGCCCCAGGACGCGTTCATGCAACTCATGCGAGGCACGGGCGGCAACGACGCCTTGGCTCCACCAGCAGCACCAGACGCAGCACCAGACGCATCCGCAGCTGCAGGCGCAGGCGCAGCAGCAAACACAGAAGCAGCAGGCGCTACAGCAGAAGGAGCAGCAGTAGCTGCAGTAGCAGCCAGGGGGCAGAGGACAAGGCGTCGTCAGAAATGGCCAAGTCAAAGGGAGGCGCAGCAGATGCAGCAGATGGGGCAAGCGAGGCCGAGGAGAAGGCGGGCAGGCAGACACAGGCCCAGGAGCAAAGATCAGAGAGTGCTGCGGGCTGTGTGAAGGCGGAAGAAGGTAGGGCGGAGGCGGGCAGGTTAGCGGGAAGTGGAGTGGGTGCTGATGCTGCAGGTGCTGTTCGAGGGAGTGCAGAGGAGCGAGCAGCAGAGGGGGATGGAGCGGTGGGAATGGAGGTGGAAGGGGGAGAGGCGAGGCTGCTAGGCGATGGACAAGAACGGGTTGACGGAGCCAATGGGGTCAATGCAGTCAATGCTATGACAGAAGCGCAGCAGTTGCATGATATGCGCACCGGCCCACCCAGTGCCAACGATGCAATAAGTGCTGATCCTGCTGCTGCTGCTGCTGATGGTGGTGGTGCTGGCGGCGCTGGTGCTGCTGCTGCTGCTGGTGGTGGTGGTGGTGCTGATTCACATAAGGGAGAAGCGGCTGGAGAGGCAGCAAGCGATGCATTGGAACAACGGGGTGCGGGTGACGCCTTGCAGAGGTTGCAGTCGGAAGGGGGTGGTGGGGGAGAAGGAGAAGCAGGAGCGGCAGGCGGAGGAGCGAGAGGAGGGGAGGGAGGTGCAGGCAGCAAGGAGGCAGGAACCGCCGCTTCAACTGGCCCCGCGTCTGTATCAGCTGCTGCTGGCGCGAGCTCAGCATCAGCAGCAGCCGCCGCAGTCGCAGCAGCTGCAGCAAGAAGAGGAGGAGCATCCGCAAATGGCAACGCAAACGCATCAGCATCGCAATCAGCATCAACCCCATCAGGACTGCCAGCCCAGCCAGCCTTCTCCTCAATGCCTCGCTCCCAGTCGTCCCCTGCGCCCACCACGCCCTCTCGCCCACACTCCGCCCTTCACTCCGCTGCCCATTCCGACCAACACCTCCTGGCGCACAACCACCAGGCGCTCCTCACAGCCATGCGCGGAGGCGCCAGCAGCCTAGGGGGGGACGTGCCCCTCGCCATAGGAGGGGGCATGGCCAGCAGCATGCGGGGCAATGTGCCCCGTGGGGTAGGAGTGGTGGGGGAGATGGCCCTTGGGAACGTACCTATGGGCGGGGGGGATGTGGAGGAGCTCTTCATGATGTCCCACATGATGTCTGCCTGGCCAGGATTCTCTGGGTTTGATCTGCCAGAGGATGTCAAGCCGGGTACGCTGCCCCTCCCTGCGAATCTTCCTGCTAATCTCCATGCCAATCTCCCGGCTGGCCTCTCTGCAACTCTCCCTGTGGGGCTGTCTGCGACCCCGCCGCTGCAGTACCTGCCGCAGTTTGCTGCTGCTGCTGCCGCGGGTGGATTGGCTGGTTCTGCGGACGCTGCTGCGTCTGGCTATTCCAGTCAGTTCTCTGCTGCTGCACGAGCCGCTGCTGCCGCTGCTGGAACAACCGCTGGCGCCACTACTGCCGCTGCTACAACCGCGGGTGCTACAGCAGCTGGGGCTACAGCAGCTGGGGCTACAGCAGCTAGTGCCACATCCATGGCAGCAAGTTCTGGGCGTGTAGCAGGCCAAGGCGTGGCTGCTGATGCCTCAGGCTCTGTTGCTGGGAACGCTGCTGCTGCTGCTGCTGGTAATGGCACTGCTGGTGCTGGTGCTGCTGCTGGTGCTGGGGCATGGGCCATGAACGGCACAGCTGGCCTGAGCGGCCTAGGCAGGATGACTGAGTTGACTGAGTTGACCGATTTTACCGGGCTCAACGGCATGGCTGGGTTAAATGCCTTTGGTTCCTGGCCAGGTATGGCAGGCATGGCCGGAGCAGCTGTGTGGTCGGCAGGAGGTGCGGTAGAGGCAGGAGCCCAGGCAGCAGGTTCGGCAGTGAGGTCAGCGAATGGGTTGGGGGCAGGCATGGGTGGGGGGGCAGGCGTGGGTGGTGGTGCAGGGAAGGGAGTGGGTGCGAGCACAGATGCAGAGGTGCTGGCGCTGACAGCGGCTGTTGCAGCACGAGCAGCAGGGACAGGCAGCAGCGGTGGTCCAAGTGCTGCTAGTGGTGCTGCTAGTGGTGCTGCTGGGAGTGATGGTGGTGGTGGTGGAATGAGCAATGGAGGGGGTCAAGCTGCCATGTGGGCCGGTCGGATGGCAGGGGGGGGCATGCCTGGTGGCATGGCGGGGGGAGGCATGGCGGGGGGAGGCATGGCAGGGGGAGGCATGGCGGGGGGAGGCATGGCAGGGGGAGGCATGGCGGGGGGAGGCATGGCACCTGTGATGAGAGGCTTGCCGGGAGGCGATATGATGGCGCGGCCAGGTGGCATGGTGATGATGGGTGGTCATGAACCGGGGCAAGGCATGGCCGCTGGTATAGCTGCTGGTATGGCTGGTGGTATGGGAGGTGGTATGGGCGGTGGCATGTTGGGTGCAGGCATGGGGGGTATGGCAATGGGAGCAGGCATGGGAGGAAATATAGCTACTGCAGGCTTGGGAGTGCATGCGCGGCCAGGTATGGGTCTAGGTCCGGGATCTGCAGGCATGGGTCTACGTCCGGGAGCTGCAGGTGTGGTGATGGGGGCTACAGGCATGGGTGCTGCAGGCATGGGGGCAACAGGCGTGAGAGGAGGTGCAAGCACAGGAGCCATGGGTATGGGTGCGATACGTCCTGGCATGGCTATGTCCATGGGCATGGGTATGGGCATGGGGATGGGCATGGATCCAAGCATGGGTGTGAACATGATGGGTCCTGGTATGGGCATGGGCATGAACATGGGTGGGATGCCCATGGGCTTTGGAGACATGGGCATGGGCATGAGGCCAGGGATGGGAGTGACTGGCATGAGTGGAGGAGGCATGGGTATGGGTGGTGTAGGGTCGGGTGGCATGGGTATGCATGGCATGGGTGGTGCTGGTGCAGGCATGGGGAACTACAGTGCTAGTGCAATGGACATGGAAGGCATGATGGATCTTCCTATGCCTATGGGCATGAGTGGGGCTTCTTCAGAGCATTTTTATGTTCCAGGAATGCTGCCTGGAATGTTCAAGTTTTCAGGGTCGTCTGGTGGTGTGATTCAAGGAGCAGGAACTGGTGGTGTTGGTGCTCCGTCTGTTCAATTTGGAGGGCTTACAAATGGAATTGCGTCAAGAAGATGACAGTTCCTCTGCTGGTGATTTTTTTGAGGTGGGGGGGGGGTTTATACAGTTCCGAATCAGCCTTCTGCGTTCTTAATCTACATAATGAAGTGTGTTTGCTCATATATATTATACCTAACAATTTGGACATGGTTTATGGCTTGTACAAAGTGCTGCACGTGGATAGAGGTCGAGGGATGTCGGTGAATCCTGACGGTTGGAACCGTAGATCCGAGGGTTGACATTTACCGACATTCCTCCGACCTTCACTTTGTACACGCCATTAGAGCGGTTCATGGGGCCCACCTCACCACAGCCATCACGGGAGGAACCTTGTTTGCGGCGGGTTATCCAGGCAGGCCGATGTCCCTTTCACCTTGTCACCAGATGTCGCCGCCAGTGGGTTGTTCAGGTGTTTTCGCAGCTGGCGAGAGAGGGCATGTGCCTGCAAACTCGTATGGAGCAATTTTTGCTGGTTCGGGACCTACAGTGTACAGTATAGGTGTAGTTGACGGTGGTGTAGCATCAGCATGACGTGTACCAAGGTTTGCAACACGTGTTTTCGCCACGTTGTCCCACCAACTCCATCTCTCGCGCCACGCCACAAAGGGTCGTACACATTATTTGCAAACGTATTACGCTCGTTTACGATCCAGTGTGTCTCTGTTGTTAACATATTTCTCTTTGAACACGGCCACACGCACTAGTCTGTCACACGTTGAGGCGGACACCTTCGTTTATCAACTATAGCAAATTATCTTCATATCAACTATTTTTTCCTGCTTGTCCACTTACGATCGTATTTCAGAGTTGGCAATAGGCGCAAAGTCGGGCAATGAATCTTGCGTGCGTAGCAGGCATCAAGTGTAAATCAGGTAGGCACAATCGGGACAAGCGGTGGCAGCACTGTAGCGGGGTGGATCTCCGTAAGGTCCGCCAACCAGTAGACCTTCACGTCCACAAATGGAATGCCACTCTGCATCATTTGACATGGTACTGTACTCATCGCTTACTGTTCATTGCTCATCGGCCCCGTCGGCGAGTTCTTTTCCCGCGCTACGCTCCGAATGTTACGGCCCTCTACACCAATCGGGAACTTACGACCCGCGGCTCCCACCTGAGCAGAGATGCTTCTTCGTTGCTTACGTTTCCTTTCCGACTTCCCCCTCCCCGAATCTTTCCCGGCCGAAACTGCGCGATCCCACACCACAACCACCGGGCCAGCCAGGAAGGGCCCTCATTTGTACAGTACGCCCGCGCAAATTCTGATAAATTTGCGCGCGCTGGGGGAAACAAGCAGGTCAGTGGGGGGGGAGAAGAGAGGACCTACCGTACAACTGTCTGTCATTCATCTCCCCGCATTCTTCCGCGGGAAATGCCAGCTGCAACTCCGCATCCGCTGCTGGCGGGAAGAAGGTTCCTCGCCCCGCCTTCATTCTTCCTTCTCCCCACCCTCACCTCGGTTTCTCCGCGTCATTCGCGTGACGCGCGTCTCTCCCCCTGGCCTGGAACTGAAATCGCTCGACTTTGCAGCCCACACCACACCCATACCTCTCATAGGCTTGGCTTTGGAATGCGCCTCCTCAGCACAACCTTTAGTCGCAGTGCTATAGTTGCTTTGCTTCTCATGCTCATAAAAAAACTCTCCCGGCCCAGCACAATCTATAGCACTTTGAATCTATCTCTAAGTCATACCACCCTCGCCTTTCCAGCTCAATTCTCATTCCACCCGTCATCCCACAGTGAGCGCTCTTTGCTCATCACTTGTATCATTCTAAACCCTTCCTTTCGGCTCGGCAAGCACACAGACCCTCCTGAAGTGCTCTCCTCGAGCACACACGAATTTGCTAACGTACATGCTGACACGTACTTGCTCACACGTGGTTGCTGACCGGGTTTCCGAAGTTTCCCCGTTGTTCAGCCTCACTTCCCTCGCCCTGCTTACCCTAATCTGCTCGCGTTACTCCCGTCACCAGTCGCAGCAATAGGATTTACTAGGTTAGGCCAGCATGAGTGCGCGACGCAGTCGGTTGTTATCGTGCCTCGCTGTAATCACATGGTGCGCGACGTTGCATCTCCGGGCGCTGCCAGCCTCCGCGGCGATCGTCGTCGTAACTCCCAAGAACGCCTCTTACGTTATCAATGACGTCGATGCCAACTTCGGTACGCCTCTCCCTTCTCATCCACCTCGGCCGTTAGCCTCGTCGCACTCTCCCGCCGCACCTCTCCCGCCGCGCGCCCACCACCTCGCACCCATCGCGCACCCACCACCGCGCTCTCACCACCTCAAATGCAGCGCGCCTTGCACCTCACTAGCATTTCGCCTCAAAATCTGCGCGCCTCACCCGCTTCCCCGCTGCGGACGCTTAACTCAGCGAGCACACGGAGCGCAGCGCCGCGCGCCAAGCCGACTGGTAGCGCACGCTTTCCTCCTTTTCTTCCGACGTATCTCCAAACGTCCGCCCATCCCCCGATGTCTCCCTCCCTTCCCCGCTATCTCCCCCCGCCGTCGACCAGGCGGTATCATCCCCTCGAGCGGCATTCGCGGCGTTCTGCGCCGAGCGGAGCCGCTCGACGCGTGTCAGCCGCTCGCGCCCCGCGCAAAGCGCGCCGAGCGGGCCTTCGCGCTGATCACACGTGGCAACTGCCTATTCGACACCAAGGTTCTGAACGCGCAAGTGGCGGGGTATGCGGCCGCGATAGTGTTCAATAACGAGGACAACGACGAGCTTATATCGAGTGAGTGCAGCACAATAACGATGTTGAAATCACTGTTGGGAATTCTCAAAAGTGATTCAAAGAGATGCGTGCTCTTTGACTTTTGAGTCGACTCAAAAGTCAATGCGTGCTCTCCCATGGAATACACAGCGCTCCCCTCTCTTCCCGCTTCCCCACGACCAGGCGCAAAACTAGAAACTCGACGCTATGGTCCCGCTCCCCCTTAGATCTCTTCTCCTTATCAAATCGACGTTACGGTCCCGCTCTATAAGCGTCTCAAACTAATCCCGTCCGCCTCGTTGTTTCCACCTCCCCCGTCTCCCACCCCTCTCTCCCCCTCTCCCCCCTTCGCTCCCCGCAGTGTCGGCGCGCAACGTGTGGGACGTGGCGATCCCCGCCGTCTACATCTCCCACGCGGACGGCCATTTGCTACTCTCGCTCCTCGCCGCGCAACCCGCGTCGCTCCTCATCCTCCTCCCCACCCTCTCCGGCTCGCTCCTCCCGCTGCTCGCCGCGGCGCTCCTCGCGCTGCTCACGCTCTCCGTCTTCCTCTCCGCGTTTCTCATAATTATGCGCCAGCAGCGGATACGGCGCGCGCTCGAGGAGGCCCGGAGGGGCGGCGCATGGGGGGCGGGGGGGGCGGAAGCGGAAGCCGCCGGGGGGATGGGGGAGGAGGGGCTGGTGGTGATGCGCGCGCTGCTGCTTCCGCCGCCGCGGCCGCTTGATATCGGCTTATCAGCCGCGGAGCTGAAAGCGCTTCCAGAAATAACATACTCGCCTTCTATGGAGGATCTCGCGGAAGCTTGTAAAGGGGATAATGGAGTGGAGGAAGGGGAGGATGCGGATGAGTTGGGAGATGTGGAGGAGGGGAGGGTGCAGGGGAGCAGTGAGCAGGGAGAGGAGGGAAAGGAGGAGGGAAAGGAGGCGGGAAAGGAGGCGGGAAAGGAGGCGGGAAAGGCGGCGGGTAGGAGGAGGAGAGGATGGAGCAGGGCGCTAGAGACGTGCGCCATCTGCCTGGACGATTACCAATCCGGCGACCGCCTCAGAGTGCTGCCCTGCGGTCATGGTAAGCTTGCCCTCTCCCCCAACCTCTCCCCCGCCCCCCCTTCCCTCCCGCATGTTTTCAACCCCTCATCCCTATGCGCGAGGGTACCTTAACCTCACCATGCCTTTCATCCCCCCTCACCCCACCCCTTTCCTCCCTTCCCTCCTCTCCCCTCCCCTCCCTTCCGCTCCGCTCCTTTCCCCTCTCTTCCCCCTCCCAAACCATGTCCATTCCGCAGTCCCACTCTCTCCTGTCCTCAGTAGTCTCCCATATCCCCCACCGCACCTGCCTCTCCCGTCACTTCACTCGACCCCCTCCAAATGGCCCATTTTACACTCCAGACCCTCACTCCTCTCCCATCTTACCTCACTCCTCTCCCATCTCACCTCACTCCTCTCCCATCTCAGCTCAGCACTCTCCCCTCTCCTCTCTCTCCTCTCCCCTCTCCCCTCTCCCCTCTCCCCTCTCTCCTCTCCCCTCTCCCCTCTCCCCTCTCCCCTCTCCCCTCTCCCCTCTCCCCTCTCCCCTCTCTCCTCTCCCCTCTCCCCTCTCCCCTCTCTCCTCTCCCCTCTCCCCTCTCCCCTCTCCCCTCTCCCCTCTCCCCTCTCCCTCCTCTCCACCGCTCATCACCGGCAGAGTTGCACGCTGACTGTGTGGGCGAAATGGGTTTGGAGTCAACTCACCCCCCTCACTCCCTTCTTCCCCTTGCTCTGCTTGCCATCCCACAGAGTTCCATGCAGACTGTGTGGACGAGTGGCTTCTGAGTCAACTCTCCCACCCCTCTCCATCCCTCCTTACCATTCCTTTTCTCCCTTCTCTTTCCCACAGAGTTCCATGCAGACTGTGTGGACGAGTGGCGAGTGACGAGTGGCTTTTTCAGTAAACTCACCTCGCTCCTTTCCATTCCTACTTTCCCTTGCTCTGTTCCTCAGAGTTCCATGCAGAGTGTGTGGACGAGTGGCTAACCACCAAGCAGCCCCTCTGCCCCATCTGCAAGGGTGACGCGCACGCACCCTCCACCTCCCCTCCTCACGCCTGCAGCAGCAGCAGCAACACCAGCAGCAGCAGCAGCAGCAGCAGCAGCAGCAGCAGCAGCAGCAGCAGCAGCAGCAGCAGCAGCAGCAGCAGCAGCAGCAGCAGCAGCAGCAGCAGCAGCAGCAGCAGCAGCAGCAGCAGCAGCAGCAGCAGCAGCAGCAGCAGCAGCAGCAGCAGCAGCAGCAGCAGCAGCAGCAGCAGCAGCAGCAGCAGCAGCAGCAGCAGCAGCAGCAGCACTGCTGGCGCCAACAATGCCGCGCATCCCTCTGTTCCCACACCTCCTTCGCCGGGCCAACTCCAACTCCTCTCCTCATCCTCCTCCGCATCCTCCTCCCTCTCTTCCTCAAGATCAGAGACCTCCTCGCCCTCCTCTCGTTCCTCCTCCCCTCACGCACAATCCCACCCACCCTCTTCGTTGCTTCTCACCTCTTTGCTTCCCAACCTACCTTGGCTAAGGCACCCTGCCAGCTCCCGAGCCTCCTCGCCTGCACTGGCCGTACCTAGCCCATCCGCTGCCGAGCCTGGAGCAAGCGACATCCGGCGGCCATTCCTCCTGCCTCCTGGCCCGGCTGGTTCTCCTACCTCTCCCTCCTTTTCATCTGCTGACTCAGCACCCATGCATGCTGAGCTGTCGCACCAAACAGATTTGACGAGCATCAGATGATGGTGCATCTCACACCATCTCACACCAACCAGAGCCATCCCTGTGACCACCATCGCATGCATCCGGTGACATGCTGCTGACTGCAGCCAGCCAGGGAGTGTGACATACAGCAAAAGCATCTAACAAGGCACACGGTTACCGAGCCTTGTGAGAAATTCAGCCACTGACCTGTTGGCTGCCTGTAGCTCTGACGTTATGAGATGCATTTCACTCCGACTTGTCGTGTACGGTACAATAGATTACCTGGCAAGTGTACGGTATGCAAGAATGAAACAAAACCCCCCTCAAAACCAGTACCATATGATGGTGATGCTGCTGCGTTCTGGTCAGAAAGACGTGGGTGGGTGGGTTATCCGTGCTGGTTATGGGTTGTTTTGCTTCCCTTTGCTAGCTCCCGCTTCGCTTGAAAAGCTCAATGTTTTGGGTGGAACGCCTTGATTTCAACCACCTCCTGGACGGCTTTTGAGGCGCCTCAGAAGTTGCTCGGCTCGCATTCACAATCTAGATACTACCAGGTTACATGGAGATCTAGAAGGCTCTAACAAACATAAACTTCTACGATTGTGCTACGGGTTTAATACGGTTAGCCTGAGTTAGCCCGTTCTGCGAGTCAACTCTAGAAGTTGTGCATGTCGGCAATGACTGACACACATTCAACCAACCTGCTCCCCTTCAACACCAACTAGCCGAACTTGACAGCTGCCTGTTACTAGTGGCGTAGCGTATCTACTTTGCCTACTACCAGCTACTACACTAAGGGCGTGTTCCTACGGCCTCTTATCAGGCGAACCTCTTGTCAGATTCGCGTCGCACCGCACTGAAACGCGCATAATAAAATTCGATCGCGTTGAATCGCATTGAACCGCACAAGTCTGACAAGAGGTCACCTGATAAGGGGCTGTAGGAACACGCCCTAACTACTCTAACTATTCAAACTCTGTTACACCCTAAGAGCCACACTTCTTAGAAGATGATTACCACCGGCGCCCCTTGCCCATCCGTCTCTTCCCCACCCGAGTCTTCTCCAACCCCATCTTCCACACCTGCCTCTTCCCCACCCGCCTCTTCCCCACCCGCCTCTTCCCCACCCGCCTCTTCCCCACCCGTCTCTTCCCCACCCGCCTCTTCCCCACCCGTCTCTTCCCCACCCGCCTCTTGCCCCTCCACCTCTTGCCCCTGCGTCTGCTGCCCCTGCGCCTGCTGTCCCGCCGTCTCTTCCCCCTCCACCTCATGCCCCTGCGTCTCTTGCCCCTGCGTCTCTTGCCCCTGCGTCTCTTGCCCCTGCGTCTCTTGCCCCTCCCCCTCTTGCCCCTGCGTCTCTTCCCCGTTCCCCTGTTGATCCTCCCCCTCTTGATCCCCCCCCTCTTGATCCTCCCCCTGTTGATCCTCCCCCTGTTGATTCTCCCCCTGTTGATCCTCCCCCTCTTGCCCCTGCGTCTCTTGCCCCTCCCCCTCTTGCCCCTGCGTCTCTTCCCCGTTCCCCTGTTGATCCTTCCCCTCTTGATCCCCCCCCTCTTGATCCTCCCCCTGTTGATTCTCCCCCTGTTGATCCTCCCCCTCTTGCCCCTGCGTCTCTTGCCCCTCCCCCTCTTGCCCCTGCGTCTCTTCCCCGTTCCCCTGTTGATCCTCCCCCTCTTGATCCCCCCTCTCTTGATCCTCCCCCTGTTGACTCTCCCCCTGTTGATCCTCCCCCTCTTGCCCCTGCGTCTCTTGCCCCTCCCCCTCTTGCCCCTGCGTCTCTTGCCCCTCCGCCTCTTGCCCCTGCGCCTGCTGCCCCGCTGTCTCTTCCCCCGCCATCTCTTGCCCATCCGCCTCTTGCCCATCCGCCTCTTGCCCCTGCGTCTCTTGCCCCTCCGCCTCTTGCCCCTCCGCCTCTTGCCCCTGCGCCTGCTGCTCCTGCAACTGCCGCATGTGGGGCTGCTGGTGTGGCCGGTACTGGAGGCGTCTCCTCAGCGCATCACGCTGGAACACAGGAAGCGCCTCCCGCAACTCCCTCTCTCTGCCGCTGCCGCCGCCGCCGCCGCCGCCGCCGTTGCCGTTGCTGCTGCTGCTTGCTCCGTTCAGGCCGTTGATCGCGTTGAACGTGTCCACGTGGGCGTCCATCAGCCGTTCGTATTCGCCCTGCTCGGCGCGCTGCAGAATGGCCGTCAGCTTCGCGACGATGTCGACGCTGCTGGGAAGGTTCGTCTGGTCGGGCGAGTCAACGGCAGTGTCGTTGTAGACGTAGTGGTTGTTGACTCCGTTGACCACGGACCGAAGATCTTCCACGTCACTCTCCCTGCTGAAAGTCAAAGCGAGTCATTACGCAAAGAGAGTAACTACGCAAAGACAGAAAAGCTTGCTAATGGAACTGGTAGATGGTTTATAGAAGGTCACAGCCTCTCGTTAACGCGACGCGTTACCTGATTTTGAGGTTTCGCAAGCAGTCGCGAACTGCAGAGAGCCTCGCAACGTCCCAGCTCGCGGGATTCGTGCCGATTTGCTGACTCCACAGCACGCACGGGTCCGCGTGACCGCTCTGCATCACGCTCACTGCCTCTGAACCGCTCGTTCCCGATCCAACGGTAACTTCAGCAGCTTTCCCAAGAGAATCTTCGCTATCAGCACCGAGAGAGGCTGCGATGGAATCGTCCACGAGAAGTCGACCGGCGAAGGCAGGTTGGAAATCACTCATGGAGAGAACGACAGCTAGCAGCAGGCCCACCCGCACGAGGCATCCCTGTAAACCCATGGCTTGGGCCGCAACAAGGGACGACTCTACCGGGTAGGAGGAGCGTCAGAAGTTCTGACGCTTGCGGCTGAATCGGCTCGCTCGCCTTTGCACCCCCACAACAAAAACTGCTGCTGCTATGTCGCACTTGCTGTTTCGTTCATATATTCCGAGCTCAGCTTGCGAGCTCGAGTCGCCAGGAAAGTATTGCTGGCCAAGCCTGTCGAACCGTTTTTCACTCATGCGCACCGACGCTAAATACGAGCCGCACTCTTCAAGCCAGTCGATTCGAACTGTGCGTTTGGATAAGGGAGGCATTTCTGATGTAAGAAACATCAGATGCACCGATCGTGCGAAACCGTCGCGCATGAACCCGACCTGACGTTGATTTCCGATCCGATTGTACCAGGCACGACCGATCGTGCCTTCGCGATGCGGAGATGAGCGGCATGAGACGGTCCTTTTGCCCCAGGCAAAAGACTGTGGGCGGAGTCGGCTGTCTGTGAACTAACTTCACAGTAGATGCGATAAGAGCACACGTGCACAACGGAGTGCAGGAAGAAAGCGATCCGTGCATCCTACAGCGAGGCCTGCCCGACAGATCAGCCAATGGACGGCGAGCTGACGGCAAGCGAAATCTGGGTAGGGTAGGCGAAGTGAACGAGAGGAGCTGTTTCTGTCCGTGAGTCGTGACCCACCTCGCTGTGGCGACGGATGGGAGGGCACGGCACGGCAGGAGCAGGGCGATGTGCTTTTGGGGCACCCTCCCACCCGCCCTACCAAAGGCGCACGTGTGCGGCGGCGTGTGGACACTATCGAGGCTCTGGCCCACAGATCAATCTCTGGCAAAACGGACATGACAACTTCGTGGGTACAGTACGAAGTCCGGTATGGTGCAGAGCAAAAGTACATTATATATGATATTTCACTTGGTGCTTTAAAGCTGCAGTATACATTTGAAAGGTTGGGTTCAAAAACTTTTGAAATTTGAAAAGTTGCCCCAAAGCTGTGAGGCACACAATAAAAACCATAAAACCAGCTGACAAATGTATACTGCAGCTTTAACAACAAAAGTATGACAAAACATGGGTTGTCCAGCTTGTAGAGCGGATAACTGCATAACGAAGTATTCAAGGCGTCAAGGGTAAATCGCAGGGAACACCATACCGTGCCAAATAGGCAGCTCGTTATTGCGTAGTGCTAAACGCGCTAATAAGGAGCTCTTTATTGCGTAATGCTAAACTAGCTAACATCCACAGAAAGTGCTCGTTATTCGCTAGGTAATGCTAGGATGGTTCCGGTGGCTAACTCCACTTTATTTGCCAAACCGATTCGCGTGACTGACGGTGCAGTTGCGGAAGAGTTACACTGCAGCCTGCGACTGAGTGATCACCGGTGGCAGCGGCAATTCCGGGAATTGGCAGAAATTCGAACTCGCACGGAACGCCCGAGTCCACGTACCCGTTAGTAAACGCCATGGAAACATCTATGTTCGTCTTAAACGGTTTCGACGCGTGCGGGTCGTTGGCGTGGCTCGTGCGGCTTAACGGAACCGAGACGTCGCAGTTTAACGATTGCATCGTGTAGCCCAGGCACGACGCGCTCACGGACACGGGCTGGTTGAGGAAACCACCCACGGTTACCATGGGTACTTTGTAGCGTTTACCCAGCATGTGCGTGAGGATGGCGCACGTGGAAAAGCAGTCGCCGTCTGCGAGAAACAGAAACGGCCGCGCGCCGAAAAACGGCTCCGCCGACCCGGGAAGCTCCGCCAATGCGCCGTAGAGTTTATCGAAATTCGACTTGAAATTCGCTGTATAGGTGCCGGCGCGGCCAGCGGTTGAGAAGGAGACGTTATGCAGAGGCTTGTAGTCTTGAGAAGACAAGAGGAGCGACGCGCCGTCGCTGGGATGACTATAGCGATTCGCGGCGTACTTAGGAATGGCCTGATCCGCCACAAGGCTCCAGGTGAAGTTTGTGCCTATAATGAAGTCCATGGGTAGGGTTGCGTTCGCTAGAGGCACGTTGCGCGTGCCGAGAAGCGCGACGGCTGTGACTGAGGCCATCACGGTGACCCCGCCGCCGTTATCGCGCACGTCGAATATAACCTCCGTGCAATTGGTGCTGCGCGCGGTGGGAGGCGCGGGGGACGGGTGTTGTTGGAGGAAAGTTGGGAGAAATTGGTTTTCAGGGAAGGAAGCATTGGTTGTTGGGCAAGCAGGGAGGACTAGCAAGGAGGGCAAGCAGGGAGGACTAGCAAGGAGGGCAAGCAGGGAGCGCACGCTTACCTCCTGGCAGCATACATGGCTTTGAAAATCTCCCCAATGAGGTATGCAAGGGGATCCAGGCCAGGCCTGGTGACTGCGAGCTTGCTTTGCGTGGTCCTGTCCACGGAGAACGTGTGCAGCACGATCACTGCCGTGCGGTTGCTCACCAGATACACCTGCGAGGGGAAGAGGGGTGTAGATGGGTGTCCAGGGGTGCAGAGGGGTTAAAAGGGGTGTAGAGGGTTGCAAGCCAGGGCTGGTGACGGTCAGCTTACTCGCCGTGGTGCAGCACGATCACTGCTGTGCGGTTGCTGAACAAATACACGTGAGAGTGGTGCAGTGCGGTTAGGAGGGGTTGAGGGGCCGGCCAGGGGAGAGAGAGAGAGCTGGGAGGTTGAATGCGGTTCTTGATAGCGTTTCAGCACGAATTGTGACATCTGCATGCAGTCACGCGCGCACACAGTCACACCCGCACACAGTCACACGCGTACACAGTCACACGCGCACACAGTCACACGCGCACACAGTCACACGCGCACACAGTCACACGCGCACACAGTCACACGCGCACACAGTCACACGCGCACACATTCACACACGCACAGTCACACCCGCATACAGTCACACGCGCACAGTCACAACTGCACACAGCCACACGCGCATACAGTCACACGCGCATACCAGGTAGTAGGCATCGTCAGCAGACACCTTCTCCATGGTGATCGCTGCCCCATCCCCGCCAGCCAGTATCCTGGGTGCAACCTTGTCACTGCTCTGCACATCACTGCTTGACGGCCCTGCTTCTTCCTTGCGCTCCTGCTTCTCCTGTGGCTGCTGCTGCTGGCGCCTGTGGGGCTGCTGGTATTGCTGGTACTGGGGTCGCATTCTCAGCACATCAAGCTCTAACATAGGAGGCGGCGCCTCCTCGCTGCTGCTACCACTACCACTGCTGCCGCTGCTGCCGTTCCTTGCAGCGTTGCCTGGACAGCTGTCGCTGTGCTTGGCGCAGTTGAGGGTCCAGTAGGAGTGCGAGTCGTTGAAGGGCTTTGAGCGCGAGACAGCTATCCATGGCACACTCACGTTCTCCGCTGCCCCCCTGTTGCATCCAGAGAGGGAAACCACCCGGACAAAACCCAAACAAAACAGTGACAGCAGAAGATGCCAATAGAACAACAGGGCATGAGAATTCAGTGGTACCAACCAGAAGTTAATGTTTACAGGGTTCATCAGGAAGTAAACAAAATTTGCCGTTTTGTGTGCATAAAGCTCACCCTCTGAAAACGGACACCTGAAGTTGTCACTCTCTAGAACCAGCTCCCTCACAACAAACTCCTCCGGGTGCTGCCTCAAGCTGGCCCTCCCCTCTGGCTGGAAGGAATCAGGGCTATGAGGGACCTACCCACAACACAACACAAGGCTCTCACTCACCCTCTCAGAATGGACACCTGCAGCGTGTCTCTCTCTGGAACCAGCTCCCGCACAACAAACTCCCCCGCGTGCTGTCCCAAGCTGGCGGCCCCTTCTGCGTCGAGCCCCGCAAACATCATGTTGAAGCGCGCACTGGGGTTGCGCACCATTCCGCCGTGCTTGTCCGCCCACTTCTTTATGTACTCCACTGCTGGCTGGCCCTCTATGGCTTGTACCTACGGGAGGGGAAGAGGGAGGGCGGTGAGGGAGGAGAGTTGTGCAGTTGCGCGGACCATGCCGCCATGCCACCAGCCGCCATGCCTGTCCGCATCTTTTGACGTTCAACACTGCCGGCAGGCCGTCTATGGTGAGCACCTGCAGCAGGGAACAGGGACGCTAGAGAGGGGGAAAGTTGCCAATGATGGTCTACACTGCCAGTTGAAGTGGTAGCGAAAGATTGATGGGAATGTCATGTTAGAAATTCAGTGGGGGGCACTCCCAGTCTCGGTGGACTTTGCACATGCACTGCTACTTCTTTGAACACTGCCCGACTGCCCGATATTGCAACCCATGGGTATTGTGGCTTTTCTCCTATTCAATGTACCCGTTTAGCGACAGTAGCGTGCCTGTTGTAACTCGTAGGCGGAAAGATCGAAACCCCAGAGCTTCTTCGCGTCCTCCTCGATCCCTTTGAATAACGACAGGTCTGAAGGGACACGGCGCGATGAAACACGGCCACGGAAAAGCGTTACGTATACATTTTAGATGAAGCGTAAATTGAGAAACGAGTTCGTGTGAGCGCAAATGTGCGTGCGTACATGTGAGGGACTTTAGAATCGCGCGGCAGACTCACATCGGCGCGTGGCGACGCGAACGATCTGCTGGCCGTCCTCCACGACCGCGAAAAGCGGGAGCGGCAGGAGGAAGGTGACCATGCTGAAGAAGCATCTCGACTGAAACATCGTGTGGCCGTCGTTGAGACCGTTGATCGCGTTGAACGTGTCCACGTGGGCGTCCATCAGCCGTTCGTATTCGCCCCGCTCGGCGCGCTGCAGAATGGCCGTCAACTCCGCGACGATGTCGACGCTGCTGGGAAGGTTCGTCTGGTCGGGCGAGTCAACGGCTGTGTCTTTGTACACGTAGTGGTTGTTGACTCCGTTGACCACGGACCGAAGATCTTCCACGTCACTCTCTCTGCTCAAAGTCAACAGAAACGCTTGTTCAAATGGAGCTGGTTTTGTTTTTCCAGAGGGTCAATGCCACGGTATTTGCAATATCAAATTTCTGTTTAGTAGATGCGCTCGTTATACCTGATTTTAAAATTGCGCAAGCATTCGTGAACTGTAGAGGGTTTCGCAACGTTCAAGATCCCTGCATTCGTGGCGATTTCCTGACTCCACAGCGTGCACGGGTCCGCTGCACCGCTCTGCATCACGCTCGCTGCCTCTGGACCGCTTGTTCCCACTTCAGAGGCAGTAGCGGCTGAAGCTCCCGCTAGAGAAGCTTCGCTATCAGCACTGGCATGGGCTGCTGCGGGATTGCTTAGCACTCGAAGGGCGAAGGCAGGTTGGAAATGACTGAAGGACAGAATGACAGTGAGCAGGCCTACTACCCGCGCGATACGTGCATTTGAATCCATGGCTCGAATAGCAAGGGACGTTCTACCAGGTAGGAGGAGCTTATGATGCTCGTTGGTGAAGGCGATTTGGCGAGTGAATCAGCTTCGCTCTCGCCTTTGTACCTCCACAAGAACTGCTGCTGCTTGCTATGTCGTGCTTGTTTTGCTCAAACATTCCCAGATTATTGTTAGCGGGTTTGCACTCGGAGATAATTGCTGGCAGCAATACAGCCGACTTTTCAGTAATGCGCTCCGACGCTGAAAACAAGAAGCGCACTTCAAGGTGGTCTCCTTGTTCGGCTCTTTCGGAAAGAGTTACAAACGAAATAACATTGCTTCGCGGACCTCCTTGAGAAACAATTTAGATTGTTGCGAAAGCATCGTGGTTTCGTCACAGAGGGTTACAGCTCGTGAGTCATCTTGGCCCTCACTGGGTCGTAGCAGTGATAATTGTTTAGGGCATGTCGAGGAAGCCGATATAGTCAGCTAGTTTTAGCGGAACGAGCAAGTTCACGATGGAAATGTACCATATTCGACTCTCAAAGGCGTTCTTCGCCAGCACTTTTAACAACAAAAATGACGGGATCAGGAAGGTCAGTCTCGGCTTCCTGATCCTGTCCGTCAGAGTTCGTTAGGGTCCGTCAGGCAGGTCAGCCCGCGAAATTCTTGCCGAGCCTATGATTCCGTCCTAACCAAACGGAATCATGCTGGCCTGTCGAACGCCCTCTTTTTCATTCATTTCGAATGGAATCGTGAGGGTGGGAAAGTGGTTTGGCAGCTTCCTCTACAGGCAAACGTAAATCCCGTCGCCATTCCATCGCCATTCACCCCACCTAGCAGAATCGTCTTGGGATGGCCATGGGATCGGAAGGGTGTAGAGGGTGGGAACGGGGAATTGGAAGGTGGGGAGGGTGGTTCCTGATCCCGTTGCCACCCTCCTCCTTTCTGGCACGAAATTTCGCGATTTGGCCACCTCTGCCACACCTATTCGAGAGGTTCCTCCTCTGGTTCCTGATCCCACGGCCATTCCGAGGCCTTTTTGAGGAGATTAACTCTACAACGGTGGGAGCTAGACTATGGGGTGGGCACGAGTTGTAGGAGTAATCAAAGCTCTGTCTGAGTTCTCTAGGACTTGTGTTTTCACAGGGTAAAACAGCAAGAGTTTCACTAAGGAAATTTGAGAATACAGAGTTTAGAAATGATAACAAGCAATGGCAAAGATGGACTATATCACATGCAAGGTTTGCCAGTGCTCAGGCAGGTCGACTGCCAGCGTGACAGAGTTGTCGACCTGCCAACGCAGCATCTCCACGGTCCGCCAACGCAGCTTGTGTGCGACTTGCCAACGCTGCAGTATGGCGGCCTGCCAACGCTGCATTCGCGCGGCTTGCCAACGCAGCATCCGCGCGGCTTGTCAACATTGCATCCGCAGGTGACTGTAAGCGCATGTGCAAGCACCTACTTCGCAGGTGCTTGTAGACAGTTATGCACGACGTGCACTGTCAAGTACATTGCGCAGGTTGTCAGCCACATGCTGACAGTTGCACATGATGAGCCACGTCGACCATGTGCTGCCACGTTGGTCGACTTCGCCACAACAGTCTCGACGACGTTCGCACACCTTCGCACACTCGTCGAGCAGGTAACTCGGTCAACCAGATGAAGTCCCTGACATCTCTGCAGGATGATGACCTTCGTCATCACCGGTTGACGACCTTTGTCATCGCGGGTTGACGACCTTCGTCGTCGTTGCTCGACGACCTTCGTCGTCGCTGCTCGACGACCTTCGTCGAGCACCTTCGTTGAGCACCTCGGTTGACATTTCAAAATGTCAGCTCCTGATTGGTCGAAATTAGGGCACATTCGAATTTCTGGCCAAAATTCGCCTGTGCAGTCTCAAGGTTGCGCAGGGTCAGATGCGACCCTGCGCAGACGAACACCCGCGAACTTCTGCACGAGCTGCGCAACTTGTACATGCGCACGGGAAGTCTGTGTTGCACTCGCAGATGCTTCATTTACTCTTGCATGGATTCCCTAGTACACCTCGTGTACAGGCAACCCTCGAACACCTGTAGAAGGTCGGCTGCACCTCCCGCACACCCGACCACAAAGTCAGTTTTGCCCATGCGAGGGCGGGGCCAATTTCCTTCAACACTCCCCTGCCGCGCTCACGCTTGGGCACCCTACGCACAAGGTCCACCCAGAACCCAAGGGATAGTATACACTGGGAAAATCCTTCGTCAGCGTGCACACAACACACAGCACGCCGGTCACCGCACCAGCCGTGCAGAAGGGCACGGCACCTACTGCTGCACATCGTCGTCACCATCGCCAATGTCAGCCAGACGAACTTGGCCGATCGCGACGGAGCACCGGTTGAAGGCCGGAGAGTGCAGCCCCTTCGTCAGGAAGTCAGCTGGCTGCTCAGAGGTGGGGATGTACTTCAACGCAATCTTCCCACGCTTCACCATCTGCTGCAGCCAAGCATAACGTCGCTCCATGTGCTTGAGGTTGCCCTTCAGCCCCAAGCCTTCTGCGACAGTGATGGCCGACTGGTTGTCCACACGAAGGACAGTCGGCGTCCCAGGGTCTAGCAGCTTGAACTCTGCAAGGAGGAAGCGAAGTCGACGAGCCTCCTTGCCAGCTTCCGTGGCCGCAACGTACTCCGACTCGGTCGAGGAGAGCGTCACACACTTGATGCGCTGGCTCGACCAGGAAACTGCGGCCCCTCCGAAGACGAATGCATAGCCACCCGTGCTCGTCCGGTTCTGCTTGTCTCCTGCATCGTCTGCGTCCACGTAGCCGACCAGGCACAGCGAACCTGGCCCACCGCCGAACTCCAAGGCAGTGTCACGGGTGTCGGCGAGGTAGTGCAGACAACGGTCGACCTCGCGCCAGTGGTTATCACTCCGCACCGTCAGGCCGCTTCCCAGCTTGCTGCACGCGAACGCGATGTCCGGCCTCGTCGTCGTCGCCGCGAACTGCAGCGAGCCAACCTTCTGCCTGTACTCTTCCTCCTCGCGCGCTTGAGCATCCTCGTCATCGAATGTCAGCTCCGCATAGGCGTCGACGGAGACCGGCGTCTTCGGGATGCGCCCGGTCTGCTCTTCGTCGATGAAACGCCTGCGGAGCTTGTCGACGTACGACTGCTGGTGCAGCCATAGCTTCCTTGCCGACCTGTCGCGAACGATTTCCAGCCCAAGGTACCTCTCGACCGGGCTGATCTCGCGCAGCTCAAAGGCAGCCTCCAGCAGCTCCTTCAGCTCCTTCAGCATCGCGAGGCTGCTGCTGGCAGCAAGCAGGTCGTCAACGTAGACAAGCACCCAGCACATCACTCCTCCGTCGCCGACCTTGAAGTAGAGAGCCTCGTCGACCTGGCTCTTCTTCCAGCCAGCGCCCAGCAGCACTCCGTCGAGGGCCCTGTACCACAGCAGGGGTGACTGCTTCAGTCCGTAGAGGCTTTTCAACAGCTTGCACACCCGGCCAGTTCCATCGTCATAGTAGTCTGGCTGGTACATGTACAGCACCCTGTCCAGCTTACTCTGCAGGAATGCATTCTTCATGTCAAGCTGCATCAGGTGCAAGTCGCGGACAGCGACGATGCTGAGGAAGATCCTCAGCGTGACGTAGCTGCTGACCGGTGCATACGTCTCTTCATAGTCGGCGCCGTACACCTGCGTGAAGCCCTTCACGACTAAACGTGCCTTCTCACGAGCGACCGTATCATCGATGTGATACTTCGTCGTCAGCACCCACCGGTTCCTCATAATGTTCACCCCGCGCGGACGTTCGACCAGCTCCCATGTGCCGTTGGCGATGAGGCTGCGAATCTCCTCGTCCATCGCCGCCTTCACCGCCTTGCCTTTCCAGCTCGCCAGAGCCTCCTATACTGTCATCGTCGCGATGTCCCAGCGATGCTCTGGGTCAGCATGCACGTCAGGGTCGAGCTCGGGCAGGTCGACGTCGTCCTGCGCATCGTCGAGCAACGTGCTGTAGGAGGTGGGGGGCAAGCAAGCATGGTAGCTCAGCTTCTCGCGAGGCTTGCCAATGTTGACACGAGTAGAACGTCGCAGTGGAGGCTCGTCAGCTTTGACTTCCACCACATCGCTGTCAGTGGACTGCTCCCCTGCAGACAGCTCCCCTTCGTCGTCATCAGGTTCACCAATGACCTCCACAACGTCACTCGACGAACCATCGTCGAACTGCTCCCCTGTCGGCGGTGCCTCTGCAGACTCTTCCTTCGTCAATGGCTCCCCTGTCAGCTGCATCTTTTCCACCCGCAGCTCCCCTGCCGTCGAAGGCTTCGCGCCCTCGTCGACGAGTTTGACATCACGTCGGCCGCTGGCGATGCCCCTGGACGGCGCCGCAGGCAACGTCTGCAGGCTCCCCTCGTCGCCAGTGGCTGACGAAGGTGTCTACTCAGGCAAGGTGGCGACAACAGGTGGTGCAGTAGGAACAGGAGGAGGAGGAGTAGGATGGACCTCCTCGACATCCTCGTCAGCAGCCTCGTCGATCTCGGCGAGCAGTGGGGACGTCGTCGTCGAGGAGTCAGTCGGAGGGTGGGTCTGCGCCCGTGCCGACGCTGGCCCATGCGTCACCTTCCACACCTCCAGGGACATCGTCTCGTAGAAGATAGCCTCGACTGTTGTGACAAGCTTGTTGTCAGTCAGGTCGAACACTTCCCATCCCTTGCTCGCCAGTGACACACCCAAGTGTAGCCCCCAACGAGCCTTCGACGCCAGCTTCCCACCACGCTGCTGCTCAGGGACCATGAACTGCACCATGCAGCCCCACACCCTCGCCAGAGTGAGATCAGGCTTCCTGCCTGTCAGCAGCTGGTGCGGCGTCGTCCCCAGAGGCAGCGTCGACCGCTCCAAGCAGTTGCGCACCCAGACGGCCTGCCGCAGGGCGAGATGCCACCAGTGGTGCTGCACGCCCATGTGCAGCAGCATCGTCCGCACGGCCTCGACGACCGTCCGCATCTCCCTCTCCGCCATGCCGTTCTGCTGCGGAGTGTACGG